ATTGTAGTTTTTTCTTTTATTATAAAAAATAAAACAGATAAAATGATCAATACAAATTATTATGTAATAAAAATTAAACCATTTTATTTAAATAATAACTGTAAAAAAAGTGTATGTGACAAAAATGAATTTATTATACCAATTTTATTGTTTAAAACGATAGTTAACTGATTCTTATTTTTCTTTAATCACATTTTAAAATTTTTTTATTAATTTTTAATTGTTTTTTCAAAATAAACTATCAAACAATTAAAATTTATTATTATTATTATTATTATTATGATTAATTTTATTTTGTTTTTGTCTGTTTGTCATTCAAAAAATTTTTTTAATAACATGAATTATTATTAATTATATATATTACAATTTTTAATTAAAAAAAATATTAAAAATAAATTAAAAATAATTATTTAAACTTATTTTTTTTATCTAAAAAATGGCACCCATTAAATACTCTATCAGTAAAGATGAAATTAATTAACTATAGATTTTGTTAAAATTTTCAGTTATGTGAAATAATTCTTATGATAAAAATACCTTTTGTGTTTTAAAACATATTAGAATCCAAACAAATAAAAATTATTGAGCCTTTTGTAATATAAAGTTAATTATTAACTTGTTAACGATTTTTTGGACTACTAAAATTGAATGAAAGACTTTAATACAAAACATATGTAAATTCTTTTTGTGAAACGATTTTATACACAAATTATTTCAAACTCAATCCACTTTTGGCAATTGATATTTAAAAAATTTATATAAAAAAACTTTTTAAGTAAAATAATACGCCAATTTATAATTAATATGATAATATATAATTATCAATAATTATTTACTTTAATCTTCCCAAAAATTGATCAATCAACACCTCTTATTTTTTAATTTTATATTTATTTTTTTGTATAACTCCAAATCAAAAATCAATTATTTTAACATCACTATAAATTAATATTATTTTGAATATATATTTTTTATAATGTATACAAACGAAAATGTAATTATTCAAAATAACAAAAATTATTATAAATCTTAATGGTTGAGAAATAGTATATATATAGTTTATATTAATTATAATTACTATTTTTTTTTATTATGATTACAACAAAGTAATCACAATAAAATATGTTATATATAACAAAAATACACTTCTTTGGAATGTTTCATTAAAAAGAACTAAATAAGTTTGTAATGGAAACTTCAATCACAAAACTGGTAGTATTTGGGATATTGACCCGTTTTGTATACTATATTTGGATGGTTGTATCATCGAGTATACTTCCTCCATACGACCTTCAGACATATTTGTTGTCTGACACTGTGTCCCCATTTTTAGCGCCATTTTCCTCGTGGGATGGTGTTCACTTTCTATCAATAGCGATGAAGGGGTATATTCACGAACATCAACACGCCTTTTTCCCTCTTTTTCCATATTTTGTGAGGACTGTGACACACCTTTTAGGGTTTGCTGCTGACGATGCAAATGGATACATATTTATTGGTGTACTCATTTCACTCGTTTCATTTAATATTGCTCTTGTCACTCTTTACAAAATGACTAAAGACTATTCCAATGAAGACTTCGCTTATAAAACGGGGATTCTATTTTGTGTTGCTCCGGCGTCGGTGTTTCTCACATCTGTTTGTTTTACAAGCGAATGGCACAATAATACTTCGGACTTCAAAGAATTAATAAATAGGCTTACACAGAATCATTGTACGGATGTTTGTCCCTCTTGGCGTGTTACTTCTTGTACAACAAAAAGAACGTGATGATGTCGTGTCTCTTCTTTTTTGTTGCTTCCTTTGTGCGAAGCAATGGACTCATCAACCTTGGTTTTGTATTATACTACTTTGTTGATAATATCTTACCATTCGCATCTTTTCCAAAAGTCCACAAGAAAGTGACTGTGAGACTTGTGGTAAGCACAGTCCTCCTAGTGATTTCCAATTTGTTACCATTTGTATTGTATGACCACTTCGCGGCTGAAAAGTTCTGTAATATGACACCAAAGCCCACTTACTGTGGAGGTATAGGAAAACTCTATTCATATATTCAGGCAAGATATTGGAACCAGGGATTCTTAAAGTACTGGAGACTCATTGAAATCCCAAATTTCTTGTTATGCGCCCCCGCCGTAATTATATCGTTAATAGTGTGTGGGTATTATTTGGTGAATTACTTTATACGGCACCCACTCTTTCGTTCACTTTGTAAGTCTACACAACTCGAGGAAAGTAAGAGTGACACTCAAAATGGGAAGGGCATGAAAAACAACGACTTGTTGGTTTACTTTGTCCACCTTTTGGCTTTGGTTGTCTTCGGATTGTTCTGTATGCACACCCAAGTCATCACAAGGTTTGTTTCAGCATGTCCCGCATTCTATTGGGGAATTGTTTGGATCACACAACAGAAGGTATTTGGTATGCTCAGGTACGTCCCTGTGTTCTATTCAGTGTTTTATACCTTCTTTGGTGGAGTCATGTTCGCTTCCTTCTATCCATGGACTTGAGTGCTTCTTCATTATTTTTTGTTAGCTTTTTGGTTCGGATCTTAGGTATTTTCATCCTAATCTTTGTGTTTTTTTTCACTAAGATTTTTGGGCAAAAACACGTGTGGCAATTCTCATGACATATGCATTCTACCAATGAACCATAAATTTATAGTAAATAAATTAAAAGATATGGTATACTATTATTTGCTTGAAATCCCGTAGTTAAAGGAACAATAAGAACGAAAGCGACTACCTCTATCCAATTTTAATCCTTCATTTTTCTGACTTTCAAAATAATAAGTAGTTCTAACTGTTAAACTCAATGCAACAAGACTATTTTCCAACAACAATAAATTTGTTCAGCTTTGGGACGTTTGGCCAGCCTGTGAATGGGTATGTGGAAATTGCAGTCCCCTTTCCATCGTTCATTAGAAATATTCAACTCACTGTTGTTTCTTGCTTCACAGGTATTAAAGTGAACACTACTACACCACCACAAGTCCCACCTATGAACATCGACTCGAATATCGAACAATGGTCAAAACTGACGAGTTACTTAACTCCAATTGTCCAGTTCGACTGTCTTCCTAAAAATGACATCCAAGAACTCCCAACAGGAAACCATCGATTTCCATTCACATTTGTCATTCCAATGACGAACTGCCCGATGCTTGTTATTCCACAAGAAGACAGAATTAAGTTTGTCTACGAAATTAAGGCAACAGTCTTTTTAAAACAACTCCAATTTGACTCGGCATATTACCCGTTACCTATGCTCTTCCATCCTATTGCTCAACTCCAATCCCCTCCTTCACAAGTATCAACACCTTTTAATAAAGACTCAAACCTCAAAGTCTTCATCCCGAAAACAACGTACTTCACAGGAGAACGCGTCGATATCACGTTGACTCTCGAACTCAAGAAACCGATTTATAGAGCTGCGCTGAGTCTTGTTGGGATGTATAGAGCGCCCGGGTGTGTGCATCGGATCACATTCAACTCGACGCTCATCCCAATGACCCCGGAACCAAAGCGATTTGTGATTGATATTCTCCCAATAGTGCCACCAACGATCATCACCCAATTCTTTAGGTTCGAACACTTCGTCTTGGTCGAGTTGTATCTGCAACTTGGTCCACCCCTTAAGGTGTTTATACCAATCACTGTTGTCACTTCACAAGATCCTTCCATCAAACAAATGTACGCGACTGTGTCTGGCGTTGTTCTTCCTAAATCGCCGTTCTTGGGCATTAATAGAAGACCACCACCCCCATTTCCATCATCAATTGTGAACGGCATGCAACAGGGAATTACCGAAGAAGGCGAAATCGTGAATTTGGACCACAAGAAGAAAACAATGGAAAGAAATGGCGACACTGAAGAGGTCTATCCCTTCTTCATGAACACGATGTTGCCTGAAAATTGGATCATTGGGTATAACAGAAATGAGCGCTACTTCATAGACGTCGAACACAAAGTGACAAGTTGGAAGGACCCGAGAGAAGAGAGTGCAAAAGTCCCACAACATGTCCAAAGACACTCGAAAGGCGTCTTAAATGTCATGGCGGTGAGGTATGAAGGCATTTCGAATTCAAGTAAAAAAGAGCCTGAAGTGTTTGGGATGGTCTTTACTGATGTCGAAAGAGTACTTAAAACAGACGTTGTGAAGGGGTGCGATGGCGACTTTGGAGGAAAGACGCTTGGTGTAGAATTAGATAACGAACGAGAGAATGTGTGCTTCTTTGTCTTTGTGAAAGGGAAGCCAGACGTGTGTGTTGGGTGCGTCAATTTTGAATTGTCTTTGATGCCGTTCCCATCGATAATTGAAGGGTGGTTCTATCTGAGACCCCTTGCATTTACTGATAATGTGAGCACGGGGAGAGTCAAATTGAGAGTCGCGTATGTCGAACAGGCGATGGCATTGAATGAAGTGATTGCGATGAATATCAGAAGCGTCACGACGAGTTGTAATGTCCCGTTTTACCCATACACTGAAATGTATATTGAAGAAGCTCGAAGACAACAAGAACGGATGGAGAAGGGAGGTATTCGAATGATCAAAGAAGAAGAGGGTCGTATAGTTCTGACATGGGGAAAAGGCGAGTTAGTTGGCGAGAAAGAGAAATTCTTCTCAAAAAAGTCGAAGAAACACGACGAAGAAGTTCCTTTGATTGATTTGAAAGGGAAGAACGAGGAAGACTTGAAATACACTGAAGAGAAAAATGACAAAGAAAAGGCTTTTGATAATATGGTCGCTATCACAGAGACACTTATGGCTCCAGTACAAACAACTCAAGTACCACCACCAACCACATACCAAAATGGTCACCCTTTTGATTCCATGAACATTGGAAACCCTACCACGACGTTAAACGTGGGGCAGAAAACCCTTCCACCTCTGCCACCAAAGAAAAACGACATTGACGATTTGAGAGTCAATGAAGAGGTGGACACAACTCAAGTGGGAGATGACCCAGTGGACCAACCACTTTTAAATTTGGAAGAACCCAAAAATGACCCACTTGGTCTTTTTAAATAACAGATTATTAAGAGTAGAAAATGTTTTTAGAAATATGAAAGAAGAGTAACAATTCTGGTGGTTTTTGTTTTAAAAAAATGAAATGTTGTTTACTACTGAGATCAAAGAGAGAGATTATAAGGGTCAAGGAACTGATAAAAACAGTGGAGATTTTATCATGTCATTCAACCCGATCCAAAGGATGGAAAGTGGTGTGATGAACAACGAAACACTTTTCATATTAATACTTTCATTCACGACGGTCTTGTTGGGGTTCATAGTCATCGTCATGTTAATATATATCAATTATATCCAACGGAAGATGCCGAGTAGTGTACCAGGAACGCCACAAAAGGCTGTTCCGAAGGATATGAATTATATTGGGGAACAGTTTTCGTGTAGTAAAAAGGTGTTAGGGCATGGGAGTTTGGGGACTGTTGTGTTTGAAGGGACTGCATTGAAACGAAAGGTGGCGGTGAAGCGAATGGTGAAGGAATTTTTTGGGCTTGCGGAGAACGAGATCAAAATTATTAATATGACGGACGAACGACCCCATTTGGTGAGATACTACGGAAGCTTCTCCGATGACAATTTTGTGTATTTAGCGATTACATATTGCCCTTATACCTTAGATGATTACCTTGAAAGGTTAGAAAAAGAGGAAGTGGATATGGAGAAGAAGCGAGGGAAGATGATATTAAATGAGGAACGGATACGACTAATGAAAGAATGTGCTATTGGGATCTATCACTTACACAAACTCGGTATAGTCCATAGAGATATTAAACCATTTAATGTGTTAGTCGACGCGGAGAACGGCATACGTATCACCGACTTTGGACTGGCAAAGAAATTGGACCCCCAGTCGTCGTCATTCAGCAACTCGACAACGAAAGGAAGTGTCGGGTGGCAAGCGCCAGAAATGCTCAACGAGACGAAACGGCTGTCGAAGGCCGTTGACATCTTCACTTTGGGGTGTTTGTTCTATTACATTGGCTGTCGGAAACATCCGTATGGAGAGCCGTTAGTTCGACAGAACAACATTTTAAAGGGAACGCCAGTGAAGATGGAGATTGAGAACAACAACGTCTATATGAGCGAGTTCATTCAATGTTTCCATGCGATGAATTCATATGAGCCAAGTCAGCGATTAACTATTGAAAAGGTGCTTTCACAGCCCCTCTTTTGGAGCTTCAAGAAGCGTCTTGACTTCTTACAGAAAGCGTCTGATTTAATGATCATCGATAAGAACGTTATGGTGTCAAGAAGATTGGACAACGCAGGAATAGTGATTCATTGGGACAGAGACTTGTCTCCTCTGATCATCGAGAACAACACCAAATTCAGATACTACGACTTCAATCGGACTATCGACCTCTTAAGACTCATACGAAATCAATCACACCATTACTACACACTTCAACAAGACGAGAAAGACCTGTACAAATCATATCCAGACGGGTTCTATCAATATTACCAGTCGAAGTTTCCATCGTTGTGTGTTGTGGTGTATTCGACAGTACTCGAGTTCTACGCGGACAACCCCGTCTTCGCCGATTTCTTCGAGCCCAACATGTGAAGGTTCTCTTGTTTCGTAAATGACGTTTTTGTATTCGTCCCTTCCAAACACAAAGACAATAACAAAAAATCATTCAAACGCTACACAGAGGAGTTTTGGACGGAACTGGAGGATATTGGCTTTTGACACGAGTTCGGGATGAGAACGTGTTGTTGCTCTTGGATTTGTTGTGGGATTTGTTGGACCTCATAGATGTTATCATCTTTTGGGTAATAATTGACCAAATAGACTGGCTGTGGGTACCCATAATTCATTTGAATTGGTTGGACTTGTTGTACGTTTTGGACCTGGACCACGTTTTGTTTTTCTAATGGTTTTGGTTTAGTTTCTTTTCTTTGTTGAGATTGAGAGACGACGGGTATAGTTTCTTTATTATTTCTTTTCTTCCCCATTGCTAAGATTTGTTTTCGCGTAACGGTGTCAAGTTTATCGATCGAATATCTCAAGCCTTCTCGACTGAAAAAGCGATAATTTTCCGTTATAAATTGAACGACTTGTGGGGAAAAGGTGAGCGACATTTCTCGAAGTAAACAGCCAACACCAAGTTGGACAAATCGTTCCGAACTTTTGACACAGGCGGCACAGATCTCAAAGGATAAAGTAGTCATCGCTCCTACCTTGGCTAAAGACACAAACGTAACACACGACGCGCGCATCCGCCACACTTTCCCCGAGTCTTTCCACACAGAGATCTTCATCGCAAAGTCATCGCTCTTCTTGATTAAAGGACCAAGAACTCGCGTCGCAAACCCATCGCATATCTCCCACGTCGTTATGTCATTATCAAAAATGCGCTCAAAGTCAATGATGAAGTCAACGGTAAACTCATCGAGGTTTTTCGCTAGTACCATCGTCCCTATTTTCTTCTCTTCGACAGTTCCCAACGCGATGAATCGATAAGCAAAGTACGTCTGGATTAGAGGAGAATAAGAGGAAAGAGTGGATGTGTAAAAATTGTCAAAAATGGTTTGAAGCTGGGCAGATCGAATGTTATACGTCCCAGTCGCTGGCTTCTCTGTAGATACACTCCGTAATGAAACTTGAAGAGATTCAATCACATCATTGTACGGAATGTATGCGTATTGGCCACCTATAAAAGCAACATGAATCGGTTTCACAAACTCATCACTCATTCCGTTTGTAAAATCTTAAATTTTCGAGTTGTGGTGATTTTTGTTAAGTGAATTTCGGCAAGAAGTTGACTTTCAATTGATTTATTTATTATTATTTAGCTATATTTGTTTGTTTATTTTGTTGGATTGAAATAGAATCAATTACTTAAAATTCATGAATTAAAAACTATATATTTTGGTTTGGTTATAATATTATAAGTAATTGTGAGTCGTTAATTTATTATAATTGAAAGAAATCAAACTGAGTTTTTTATGAAAAAAAACCTAATTAAAAAAAAATATATAAAAAAATAAACACATTAGTTTTTAAGAAATATTTTAATAACAAATTAGATTTATTAACTATAAATATCATTTATTGTATCTCAATCTTGTCAATCACGCAATAAAGGCCGAATGATACCACACAAATCAATCAATTTTGAAGGAGAGTGATGTTTTCATCAGTGCAAAAGTTGATACAAAGAACAAAGCAAAGAAGACCATAAACAGCAGAGTATATTTTTTACAGCCAAGTTTCTTTTCTTCTTGATTATCAAAAGCTCTGTCTCTTAACGTCTTTGTGAGTAACGAGTGATAATAGTTCGTAAGTATTGTATATCTCTTTCTGTAGTCTTCCAGCTTCTCCATAATCAATAAGTTACACTATTGGAGTTCCTTTTATTATCGAACAGAATTCACTTCAAACCAATAACTATACTTTATAGATATTTTTATTATCAAATGAATTGAAATGAACAGATACTAAAAGTCAAGAACAAATAGCATCTATTCTATATTTGGATTAGACGAGTATAAATAACATTTTGAATAACAAAAAATTACTTCATTTTGTTGAGTTGTTCTTCATTGGTTTCTTCGACTTTTTCTTCTTGTGTTTTTTCGACCTCATCTGTTTGAAGTGTTTCGTCAGTCTCTGTGACAGTTTGTTTCGTCTGTTTGTCGTCAGCAGAGCAGTCAAAGAGGAAAGCATGAGCTTGGACAACAACACTGTTTGTTGTGAACATAGCAAAATTCGCGAAGAGATACTTTTTATCGAAGTACAGTGCAAGTCCGTTACACAAGAACAGTCCCGCCATAACTGCAACAAACAAAATGTCAACGTCAAACAGTTTTTTTGGGAGTGGGAAGTTCACTTTTTTCAATACAATCACTGTCATAGCTGGGACTAGAGCCAAAGGGATTATTAAAAACATTAAAGGGAAAATACAACTGTTAGTGACTTTTGCTCTATAAGGAAGTTGTATAAATATAATATAATAAAAGTATAATAAAAAATATTATACTTATTGATTATAAGAAAAAATAATAAAAGTATAGTAAAGTATTAATAAGAATACTACAAACCATTCAACAAAGGCTATTGTAATGCCAAAGGAGATGTAGACGTATCTGAATGTGTATATGTTGATTTGACTTCTGAGGGAAGCTACACCCATCTCTCGTGGTATATTGTAAGGGCCTTGGAAAAGAAGTTTGAAAGCGTCCATTGAAATAGAATAACAAGTTCTTTTGATTCAACTGAATAAGGAATGGACGTAGAAAAAGCTATTCAAACCCTTCAAAAGCAAATGAAGGAATTACAAATCCGCGTCGATGTGTTGGAGTCGGAAAACAACATTTTAAAACGACAGAACATGTATTTGGGACTGATGATGACAACAAAATTCGACGAAAATTCGACGACGTATTGTAAAAGACTTTGGGGCGACGAAATTGAGTTCGACTCTCCTGACAAAAATGAAGAAGGGACCTTCCCACAAATACTCCAGTGTGTTCTTGAGAACTCACAGACGGATGCGGTCGATATGTTCGTTGTTACACAACTAGCAGACTCACTCATGGAAAGTCGACTCAACAGTCTAGTTTCAATTGATAGTATCGAAACTATTAACAGTATAGTTAAAAAGGCAAAGGATGAGGATTATTCAATTGGACTCAAATGCTTAAGAAGTGTTGCAACGAGTAACACGCCACTCATACCTTTTTGTGTTGATGAGTTTTGTGAAGCACTCAATGGAGACTGTTTGGTTGATAAGATCACAGCTTTAGATGGCCTTTATACAGCATCTAGAAACAATCACAGCGAGGTTGTACTTGAAAAAATATCGAAAGCGTTATTAAAGTTTAGTACACATGATGGCCTTGAAGAACTTACAGTATTCTATCAAGGCATTTTCGATGATATAGTTAATGAGATATACACCCATTCTCAAACATCCAAACTCATATTAAGTAAAATGAAAGTAGTACAATGATACTCATTAAGTATTTTTTAATAATAGTTGTTATTTAAAATAACTGGTTCTTGCGTCACACAGTTAAAATGTTTTTTGATTGTTTTCAAAATTTCATTAAAAATCCATTTCGTTAATTATTTTTTAAAATTCTTATTTTTTATATCTTAGTAAAACTAAACTGTTTTTCAAAAGTCGGTACTGTCATATTTTTAGAACTTCCTAAAGTCCCGTTTTTTATTTTTGTTTTTTCCTAAAAAAACAAAAAACAAAAAATCGAAAGTACCGACTTTATTTTGAAAAAAATACCAATCCCGTTCAATTATTTTCGTACAAATTCGGGAAAATATCGGAATATTAGCCATCTTTTTCCAAAAAACCCGATCCCGTTATTTGATTTGACCATAACTCAATACTTCACGACATATACACATCATTGTTGGCATAAAAGCACAACAATGAACGTTTAAGTGAATTTGGATGGTGTTGTTCGTGTCGAGTTTTAACTGAATATTACTCTCGTTAAAATTTAACTGAAATTTAAAACAAACTGTGGTTATCTTCTCTGAATAAAAAATAATGAAATAAAGAGTTCCAAAAACACCAAAAATTACAGCAAATGTTTGATAATTTTGACAGGCATAAGTCAAAATTGTCAAAGGGCAACACTAGAAAAATAATACAAAATAACAATATTGTTTTGTTATTGGATATTTTAAAAAAGATGTTCTCACTGAAATGATTAAAGAAGTTGTCGACTTTATAAAACCCAACAAAGATAAGTTATCAAATCATTTTGTTATTTTTATTGTTATTGTGACAACACTACTAAGCATACTAATCTTCGAACTAAGCTTTTGTTTTGTGAATATTTCATTAATTAATAAAATGTTTGATAATGAAAAAGATTGAAATTAAGTTTATTTGCTTTTATAATAAAATGCACTTTTGGGATCATTCACGTGTATTTCAAAAACAAAAATCCCGTTATTTCGAATTTTATATGGAATTTTTTAATGCTTAAAAATTCTTCAAGTAAAAAAATATTTTTTGAAGACCGTTTTTCTCTTTTTTACTTGGAAAAAATAAGCGAATTTATTACAAAAAAACGATTCCCAAAAATAATAAACAAAATAAATGCAAAAAATCGGGACACCTCAGTACCGACTTTTGAAAAACAGTTTAGATGAAATGTGATAATTGCAACACCTAATATATGTATCAATTTTTTTTCGAAGATATCTCAAAATTAAACGAAAACACCATTTTTGTTTAGTAACCATTATTAAAAAGTATAATTCTTTATTCTATTAAGAATTAATAATCCAAATATAGAAATCACACGTGTACTTGATTGAGTATAGCATTTTTTTATTATTAATAATGCTAAAATAATAGTATAATAACAAGATAACAAAACGAATAACCCTTCATAGTGATTTACTTTGTTATAAACCAATGGACCTGATGCAAATATCAATAGAACAAGCCAGAAAGACAAAACAACACAAAAAAGAGTTACACAATACAGCACTTTTCCTTGTCACCTTTTTTGGACTTCTTATCCTTCTTCTTGTCCTTCTTACCTTTCTTCCCTTTTTTCTTCTCCTCCTCTTCCTCTTTCTTTTTCTCCTCCTCTTCTTTCTCTTGAAGAGACAAAGCCATGAGCGCCTGGGCAATACCTTTGACCATCTCTTTTAACTTCTCGGAGTCATCCACCTCGACTTCTGCGAAGTGATAATTATCACAGACTGGGTTTTCAAAATTTGTTTTGTCTTGTTCGGTCATGATACTGGTAATGTCTTTACTCTTGAAGACAACAGTAATGATGAAAATTTGGTCGTGAGTGTATCGAACGATTTCTGTGTTTTGGTATGAAGCTTGGTCGATACTGTTCCGTTCGTCGGGGAAGACGACGGTGACAAACCCATTAAAGCCTCTGTACTGCCCTGTGTTTTGGGTTTTAAATCGTTCTTCCTTTTCTTTATTAAAGACGGAAAGGAGGACGGACTTCCCTTCAAATTCGTATTTTGTGACAACTTTTTCATTTTTTTTGGCTTCCTCTCCATAGATCAAAGCAAAAGGGTCCCGGTCGTCTTTCTCAGTTTCCCAATTCAGTCGCACGGAAAATTTGAAATCCGCAGTCTCCTCGTTCTCCGCCATCCAGTCGCACTTTGTCGTTTTCAAGTTCTCCGTTCTCTAATTTCAGATGGTTACTTGAAACTTGTGTCTTCCGCATTTCGAGATTTATTTAACCAGAACAACAATATTTCTTTGGTATTTATTCTATCATAAATGGATCGTTGCACATGATCAAATAAATTGCGCAGTTCTTTTTAATATGACTTGATGTATGATTTAAATATTATCGAGCTGTTCATCTGTTTTTTTAAAATACTCGATACTTGGTATGCCTTGAATTATTCATTAACTATACTTAATGACTTAAATTACTTTCTGCTTTTTTTCTCTGCTATCTATTTATACTCCTCTATTTATATATTCAAAACACCCGACAAACCACTCGGTGTATGTCGCATTTAGACCCTTTTTCAAATCCAAATATAACTAGGGTTAATTTCCTTCTTTTGTTCATTGGATTACAGTATTTTTGGTTCTTTTAACCACCTTATTTTCATGTAAAAGACCTGTTAGCACTCAAGAATTAAAAAGCATATCATTCAAGTTATTCCCATGGTCTCCATATTATCAAGTGTACTGATACCCACAGAGCCTGTTTTGTTACTCTTGTTCTTATTTTTGTATAATTCTTTTGATTAAAAGAATAAAAATTAGCATCAAAATTAAACATAGATGTTAAAATTACTTATTCCTTCGCATATAAATACGCCATTACTTCTTTACTTACTCGGTCTAAGTCTTCTTACTACAGTAAAACCTCCCAAGAGCGGGCGGGTATGGTAAATTTTGTTCTCTCAAGAGCGGGCGTTTTATTTTTAACTCAATTTTTTAAAGTTAAAAAAAACATTTTTTTTGGAATGTAAAAATAAAAATATAAAAAATGAAATATAATCCAAAAAGAAAAAAAATTACCACGTGTTAACATTAAGATGATTTTAAACAAAGATTAATTTGGCTCACAAATGTCATATTTTTATAAAAAATCAAATAATCTTATAATTTATTCATGTCTTTACCAAAAACATTTTTATCAATTGATGAAAAAAAGCAAATTTTACAGTGGGCTAATGCTTCCCCGAAACCGTCTACGAAAAAACTGAGAGAAATAATAAACCAAAATTTACAAAAATGTCCAAAACGCGAGTCTCTAAGGATGTTGTTAAAGCACGGTATCAAGGAAAATTTGATTGAGCAATCAATACCAGGTAATGCCAAAGTTTTCAGAAAAGTTAAACACCCAGACTTGGAAGAGAACATGCTCAAGATGATAGAAACTGTGAGATCATACAATACTCCAGTTTGCTACAATATTGTCAAGAGCTTAGCTTCCAAATACTGCTTCGAAAAGGGATACAATGATATGATGATTTCAAATGGTTGGATTTCGTCGTTTTGTTCAAGAAATCAACTGAAATCAAAGAAATTATGCGGAGAAAGCAATTCGGTTGACCCAGATAAACACAAAGAAGCAATTGATAATCTGGTTGAAATTATTGCACAGTATGCTCCTAATAATGTGTACAACGCGGATGAAACAGGTCTTTTCTATAAGCTGTTACCTTCCATAACATTGTCAAGTGGTTCTGATAACCATGGAGGGAAGGAAGATAAAGAAAGAATTACAATTATGATATGCTGTTCACTAAGTGGAGAAAAAGAAAATCTTTTGATCGTTGGAAAGTATCGTAATCCAAGGTGGTTCTCTGATGGAAAGTACACTGAAGTTAAACAATTCTACGACTTTCAAACTAATGCTTGGATGAACATAGAGCTGTTTCATCGATGGCTACTCAAATGGGAAGAAGCACTCACAAGAGAAAACAGAAACATTCTTCTTATAGTAGATAATGCTCCAAGCCACAAGCTTATCATAACTACGACTATTGAAGAAGAGAAACCCGGCTACACTTACAAAGGACTAAACGAAAAGGGTTTGCATGTGTATGAACTAAACCTGACACACATTAGGCTGGAATTTCTACCGAAAAACACGACATCAGTATTCCAGCCATGTGAAGCAGGAATAATACACTCATTCAAGGCCGCATATCGAAGAAAAATTGCGAATTTAAAGGCAGAAGAAATTATAGAAGCTCATTCTCAGGGAAAAACGTATTCATGACTCAAAATGAATGTGGGAAATGCCATATTATATGCTGTCGACTGTTGGAACAATGATGTTTCATCAGAAACAATAATTGGATGTTGGAAGCACGCTTTGTTCAGAAAAGAAGGTTGAAGGATTTTGGGAGATGGAACGGGCTATTCCATTGAAGATCTGATCGAAGAAAACGAAGAGCCCGGCGATGTTGAGGAACCTGAAGAACTAGGAGATATTTCTTTAAGAATCCAAGAGTTGAAAAAACTGATAGTGAGTAAAAATGATGAACTTAAAGAAATAAAACAACAGTACAAGGAACTGTGTGACAAAAAAAATGTTCCCATGGAAATAGATTTTAATTAATTTAAAATCTAGTAATTTATGTTAAAACAAACTTTAAAAATACTACCTGAGGTGGCTCATGTCTCAGGTATTTATTTTATTTTTCAGTTTTGATTTATTTTATATCAATTTCTATCGTTTTTTTTGGCAAAAACTTTCATTTACAACCAATTTTTAACTTTTAAAAAATTTTGCATTTTTTGATATTTTTTAATTATATTTTTTTGTTTTTCTAATTATTCAAATGGTATTTACCAAAAAATAGAAATAACAATCCCGATTATTTAGAACAAAAAACAATAAACTGTCAGTTCTCTATCGAGTGGTTTTCAATGTTTGATTGGTCGAAAATGCCCGCTCTTGAGAGAACCCGCTCTTCAGAGGTACCGCTCTTTGGAGGTTTTACTGTACTTTTAAAGAAAAAACAATTGAAAATTATTACAAAAGAGCATCATATTACTTAAAACACTATGAGGACAAAAGACTAAAAAAAATGGTATAATAAAGAGGGTTTGCGCATTCTAAATGATATGGAATGTCATTTTAAATGTCCCCATCTCCAACGTCGCCTTGTCATTGAGTTGCACTTTGTTCTCTTTTTTAACGACCAGACTGCTATTCACTCCACTCCCATTTCTTCCTTCGTTAACAAACTGGAATGTATCTGTTTCTTTCTCATATGTGATCGTCGCATGCCGGTGACTGAGGGACTTTGCTTTTGTGTATTTACTTAAGTTGATGAAACTTGGGTTGTCCGATTGTTGTGTATCCTTCGCTCTTCCAAAGACGACGGGATAGACTGTTTTTGAGTCAAATTCGATTATCGTTTGCCCATTTTCACCAATCAACTTTGCTTTGTTGTGTCGTCGTTTCCGGGACTTCTTCTCGTCGTCTTTAGCAGGGTCCTCTTCTTCAGACAATCTCTTCTTTAACTTCTTGCGCTGCGCTTTTGGTGGCTTTGGCTCTTTCCGTTCTATTGCATGTTGTTTCACATCTTTTAGTGTTTCTTTCAAAGTGACAACGAGTGGGGTGACTACAGGTAAGTTCAAATTTCTTCATTTATTTGCGCCGTGTTGTGTGATGTGTCAAATACATACAAAACTATTGAATAAAGTGATAAACAAACGCTTTTGCCGCACAGGAAGACTTTCTTTGTATTGTTGAATGACTTGCACTTGAAGTAACTACTTTGTTAGTATTGTTTTGATTCATTGAATGAGAACTACAAACTTTAAGAAAGTTGTTTGGTGGTATTTGCTCTTTGAGTTTGATCGACTCCTCTTTGACCTCTTTCATTTTCATCCATGTCGCATATTCCTGTAAAACCGGTGTCATCCCGTCTTGAATAATCGACCGTATGTCTAGTATGTCTTTTTTGTCCATCACGGTGGGTATTCTTGCGATTGGACTTTCACAGTTCCTCATCAAGTTGCCCTTTTTCTTCGTCAGACTTTTTTACTCTTTTTCTTCCATTTTCCCCGTCTTTTTTCGATTTTCTCAAGACCCAATTTTGAAGTTCCTTTGTTTTGAAGTTTGTTTTTGATGTTTTGGGTGTTCAATTCGTAATGAAATAAAAGGGTGAGAAAACGTGGATTTTATCATTCATAATATCCTCTATTTCACTATCAAAAATCACTCTCCTTACCCAAGTAGATTATTGTTTGGTACATGCCCAATACTATCTTTGTTGGGTATAATTGCTAAAAAACACCAGGAATTCGGTTAGGGTTAAATGGGATCATAACAATTGTAATGTCGCTTTGACTTGTGTTTTTTGTGGCGATGTATTCTTGGGGTTCAACACGTCATCTTTTTTTTTTGTGAATAGAAATCGTTATTCTTTAAACCCTTGTTTTTTCTCTAATTACTAGAGCTTGTAACTGTTTGGTATTTTTTAATACCAATTTATAGTTGATTTTCAAAGCAGTCACTTAATTATATCTTATACATTCTTACTAATTTATTTTTAATATGGTTGACAATGATAATAAAAATAATATTATTTTATAATACATTTATAAATTATTATAACTATAATAATAATGCATTTAAAAGTATATATTCTAATAAATACCAATTCTTTAGTTAAAATTAGTTTATTATACTATATTTGTTCTTTGTTTATTTTTCATACAATTTGTATTTTTGAAACATTGGTATTATAACAAAAGTTCAAAATGTTATTCAGTAAAATAAAAAAACAAAAAATGTATCATTTAAAATGGTACTTTAATTTATAAATAAATGGTTCCTTAAAATGGAAGAAAAACAAATACAACCAATAATTGTTTTTCCAAACCCCGAAATATAATTTCAATTTTTTCAAGTCTTCCCCCTCCTTATTTCGACACGATACCTTTTGCTCTGAGCTATTGTTCTAATAAAAAAGAGTAATGAAAGAACCATTATAACTGAATAGACTTAAAAAAAATCCAATAAAAAACAAAGAAAAATATAAATGAGTTCATGAATAAATTTAGTTGATTCTCAAATGTCTGTAAAGCTAGTTGCTGTCGGAGATGGAGCTGTTGGTTTGTCAGAGGGATACTGTTTAGTCGAGAAATTAAGTTTTAAAAGACTCACCACTAGGGAAAACGTCGATGTTGATATGTTACACAAAGAATGAGTTTCCCGAGGCTTATGTACCAACAGTATTTGATAATTACACAACAAATGTTTCATATGGGAAAGAGGTAGTCCAACTCCAAATATGTTTGTATTCCGTCTAGTGTTATTACTGTTAACAACTGAATTGACTCATCTTTAGGGGATACAGCTGGTTTGTTTCATGTCATCTGACTTCTACATTTGTCACATAGATATATATATCTTTTAACGGTATAGGACAAGAAGAATATGAGAGTTTTCGACCACTCTCTTATCCGTCGACGGACATCTTTCTCTTGTGTTTCAATGTCATTCAGCCTTCGTCGCTCACAAACATCATCGAGAAGGTTTGTTGTGTATTCCATCATTGTTAATTGTTAATTTGATTCAAGTATTATAAGGACGAGGGTGGGTCGATAACAAACTGACTGTCAGTGGTATCCTGAAGTGAAACAGTATTGTCCAACAAGTAAGACTATAGTCGTTGGGTTGAAAATTGATTTACGTGACAGTGTACGAGAAATACATAAATTAGAGGAGCGTGGACAAAAGCCGGTGACGTTAGAAGAAGTTTCAAATGTGATACGCGACAGTGGGATTCAAGTTGATCGAACTATGGAGTGCTCTGCAAAAACACAAAAAGGCCTGAAAGAGGTTTTTTACACTGCAGTTGAGCTTTGTATGGTGGACAAAAAACAGAACCAAGTCCATCAAAGCGACAAGACGGGATCCGTCGAGAACGGAGATAAAAAGCAAAAGTGCTGTTGTGTGTTACTGTGAAAAGAATCATCATAATGAGTTGTTTCTTTGTTTGTGTTTCTTTCAAGAATAGAAGTCTTGAAGCAGTCAATTACTCTTGAAAATCGGAGGGTTTTATATGGTTATTAAACTTGATTGCATGACGCTTAGTCGACCGAAGAGTTCCACCAATATGAATGATATTCAAAGCATAAGGAAATGGCATAGTTTTTGTACTGAAATAGGGAAGTGTTGTTTTGAGCTATGAGTCACAAATGAAAAAGACGGGAAACCCTAGTTGACTGATTAAATAAAAAAAGAAAAGACCAAACCATCTCAGCAGCCTCTCTACGACATTTCACGATACATACGCCCGTGCCTTGAAGGTTGTTGTATACAATGGACATCCCTTTGTTGAGAGCTACACCATAAAGGCCATATAATTTAGATACCCCCGAGTTGATTAAAGCTCCCATCTCGTTCATGGGAACGTCGATTGTTACCCCTGCACGGATGGGAATTGCTTGAATAAGAATATACCGGACTTTGGTGCGAACCATAAGAGTACGCTAGTTTGAGTTTTTCAGTTTGAAGGATAACACAGTAAGAAAATGTTATTCAAATGTTAATCAAATGGTATAGCAAAGAACACTCAATTGAAAGGAATTATTCCTTCACTAGACTGACTTTGTACTTGAACTGTAGAATGGCAAGGGACTTCGTCTTGTCAAGCGCATCACTCACAGACATCTTCTTAGTTTTCACTAAGACACTTAACACTTCTATTGCATCACTATACGCCATGACTCTCGCATTCAACTCAACAACTTTCAGTTCCTTCTCAGACTTAGTCGACTTCAACGTCTCGAGGAAGTCGATGTGTGATTTGGTGTTCGTTGCTATCCAATCTCGCGCTTCTTTGTTGAAGTTTAAATCACTTTGAATCGCGGAGCGGACCGTTGCAAGACGCTCCGATAACATCTTCAAGCGAATCGCCTCGGCCTTTGAAGCTTCGGCTTCTAACCGAGCATCTTCTTCCCTCTTTTTCTGTGCTTTGTATTGGTCGGCTAACATCGTGTGATCGACGGAAGTCAAGTAATTGTCGCGTAGAGTGACGTACGCTTCCACAGATAGAAGGCCGTCGGAGTACATCCGCTTCAACTCTATAATTCCCTTCTCATCGTCTGCGTTGTATCCCTCCATATATTTCTCTGTACTCTTTGGTGTTTCTGGAATTGGTAATTTACTTGGCGTTGTTTCTTGAGTCTTGACGACGGAAGCACTTTCAGTCTTCGGAGTGTTTTGTGGGAACACGTTTTGTGGTCGTGTGTTTGGTTGGACTATGGTCGTGTATGGGTTTATTGGTGTTGGGGAAGCGAGTTTTGGGTAAACAGTAACTTGTGGTGAATAAGCGTTTGGTGGTTGATTTTTCTTCTCTAATGTTTGGTATGGAGATGGGTAGATGTGTGGGCTTGTTGTTTGGTAAGGTGATGGGTAAGGGGTTGTATACATTTGTGGGTATGGATTTTGATAAATAGACTGTGTGAAATGTGAAGAAGAAGTTGTTGGGTTAAGAAATGGGTTTTGTGTAGGTGATGGGTAAGACGGTGTTGTGTGGTAAGGTGTTGGTTGATACACTGAATTTTGGGACATTGAATAATATCTTGAGTTTCTTTTTCAACTATTAAAAATGAATTTTTTATTTCTTACTTAATATTTTGTTATTAAAAATGGTATTTTTTTTCGGGGTTTGAGGATTTTTAAATGCAAAACACTGGGATGTTTAAATTATGTTATTGAGATGTATTATTTATAGTTTATTATTATAATCTTTACTATTAGAATGATGTTTGAAAACTTCTTTGGAAATGTTATATATAACATTACTTTTGTCTTTTGTGAATTTTGAACCAAATTGAAACAAGTTAAAAATTATATAAAATAAACCATATTATCTGTTACATAGGGTGCGCAACCGCGAGAGTAATTTTTCATTTTTATGAAATCTTTTTTTTCATTGTAAAAAATAGTGAAATATGTCAATTTATTTTTTTATTCATAAAAATGAGCAAAATTTGTAAAATCTGTCTTAATATTGAAACGTGTAAACAGTATTTGATTAAAAGTAAATAAACTTTTTATTTGTCTCAAAAGTTGATAAAAAACAAATAATAATTAAAAACAACAATTTTGATATTTTGTATTTATTAAAAGACAAATTAGTAAGATTGAAAAAAATAAGATAACAAAAGAAATTTTTGTTATATAACTTAATAGATAAAAAATTGACAGCAAATTTTATAATTTGGTATAAACAACACATTGTTTTTTTCATTTCCAACTTTATTGTAAAATTCTTTAAAAACAACACAAGCAACAAAATAATGAAATTACAATTGGACCTAAAAACATTAAGACACCGTTTAAAATGCTATATGAATATTGTAGTAATAAACATGATACACAAAAAATGAATGAATCAACAATTGATTTTTTAATAAAATGATATGAGTCATTTTTAATTTATTGTATATAAAGACGACTTTGACATTCTATTGATTCAACTAAATACAACAGTTAAAACAAGAAGTTTTCGTTCAAAGAGATCAATTTGTATGTGGTAATAAAAATAAATAATAAAAACAAAGATGATTAATTGTTGAAATGTTTATAAAAAGATTGTTATAACAATCTCTGTATGTTCCAACAACTTACAACCACAAGAGACTATTGTCTTTTTGTTGAAGTTATTAATGTGTATATAATTATCAATGAGCCAAAAAACAATATACAAAAAACAAAAAAAATATAGAAAATTTGATAATTATTATTAAGGAAAGAAATTTGGTGTTGTTTATTTGCTATCGATAATATTGTATTATAATGTAGATAAAAAATAAAATGAAACAAGTTTTGGTGGTTATCTCTTCAACAATAAAACGTTTATTTATACAGTGCTTATTGGTTTCAAATCGATAATATTTTTTAATAAATCGATTATGTTTTTATATTTTCGACAGTATTTTTTATGGTTTATATTGTATTTAATGAATTATATTACTTTTAATGAAATAGACTGTTTTTTTTATAAATTATATAGCATTTGATGAAATAGACTGTGTTTTTTATAAATTATATAGTATTTAATGAAAGTGATTATATTTGTTATAAATTATATGGCATTTTTCTAATTTATACAACATTTTTAGTAAAATCAATAGTTTTTTTCTAAAATATATAGGATTTTTGATAACTTATATAACTTTTGTTTGAAAATATTTTGCTTTTTTTACAAATTATTGGATATTCCCGAATATTAGGAATAAAAATACACATAATAAGCAAGTTATTATTTGTTAAAAATACTTAATATGTAACTATATTTATACTATTATATAACTAAATTTTAATCTATTCTTATTGTTTATTTTAATACAAATTTTTACAATTATGATACATGATAAAAATAATTAATTTATAATATAACTTTATCAATAATTATTACAAATATTTTATTTTTGAATTTATAATTATATATATTATATATATCATTATAATAGACTAATAAATGAAATATATTAACCATACATAGTTTAAAAACATTTGATTAAATATTTTCTTGGTTGTACACTCGAGGCCACACAATTTCCCTAACATTTTCAAAACAACTTTGGCACTCTTCTGGTTTAATAGTTAAAAAACCATCTCTGATTTTTTCAAGAAAATTTTCGATGCCATTCCAAGTTCTCACATTTTTTTTCAACTCTACTTTTCCAGATCCCAAATATATTTTCAATTGGGTTTAGTGCTGGCGAGTACGCAGCATTAAATACGACAGTGTGGTTTGTATTATCTAGCATTCTTCTCATAGTGTTGTGAATATCACAATTATCCACCCAAAAAACGCATTGTCTCTGTTTTAAATCATACTCATGAATTAGGTACCGGAAGTAGTCTTCGAACGAATTTAATGTGTTTGTTCCACAAACCACATTGCAATAAGAGAGTCCGTCACAATCAACTGCGCATTTGGAGGTGAGGCGAAGACCACCTTTTGATTTTGTGATGAAGGCTTCCTTCCCTCTAACTGACCAGCCATATGCAGGAGTTGATGCTACAGTCCAACTGGTTTCATCTATACAAACCCAACGTGCTCCACCTGTTATATAACCCCTTAGAGCGTTTACTGCTGCAATTCTTTTTTCTTTATTATCTGGCGTGTTGCTTGTTGGCCCTCTTGTCTTTGTTCTTTTGAAAGAAAAAATAGGGACTTCTCTCTCTTCACCTGTTGCTGTTTTACCAGTCATGAAATTTCCAATTGATGATATCGAAGGTGCATAAAGATCAATGTCCTCTTTAGTAACAGCAACCTTGGATATTTTTGGAATATCCAAAATGATTTCATCAACATCTTCTTCTTCGCGTAATTTTTCTTCTTGTGCTATCATTTTTCTAATTGAAGTTATTTTTATTGTTGTGTCTTCTTTAATAGCTTTTTCTACCAATTTTTGAAAAGGTAAAGTACGGCTTTGTCTTCTATAATGTTTTTTTTTGGATATATTGATATCCCCTTTCTTAACATTGAAAGATACTTTTCAATGTTTATTTTTTTAATCCCAATTATTTCTGAATATCGTGAAGCATTCATGTTATCACCATTTTTACTCCATAGTTCAACCAAAGTATCTCTTTGATCAATCGTAACACGAGAATAAGGTCGTGTATTTGTTTTCTTCTTTTTTGAATCCAATTTTCGGGGCCGACCCCGTGATCTTTTTTTAAAGAGGTGGGATATCTTGATGGGGCAACATTACAGGTTGTACAGGTTGCCCTTGCATGGATAATGGTGCATTTTCATGATAGTCGTTTCTTGCTCCTGGATCTCTTCTGTCGATATAATCTAATTGCATGATATCATTTTTTGCCCGTTATTTAAATATACATAATTATGTTAAAAAAATATCCTCATTGAGAAGAGGTTCTAAATAAGAATAGATTAAAATTTAGTTATATAATAGTATAAATATAGTTACATATTAAGTATTTTTAACAAATAATAACTTGCTTATTATGTGTATTTTTATTCCTAATATTCGGGAATATCCAATAATTTGTAAAAAAAGCAAAATATTTTCAAACAAAAGTTATATAAGTTATCAAAAATCCTATATATTTTAGAAAAAAACTATTGATTTTACTAAAAATGTTGTATAAATTAGAAAAATGCCATATAATTTATAACAAATATAATCACTTTCATTAAATACTATATAATTTATAAAAAACACAGTCTATTTCATCAAATGCTATATAATTTATAAAAAAAACAGTCTATTTCATTAAAAGTAATATAATTCATTAAATACAATATAAACCATAAAAAATACTGTCGAAAATATAAAAACATAATCGATTTATTAAAAAATATTATCGATTTGAAACCAATAAGCACTGTATTATTGAAAACATTTATTAAAAAATAATAATAATCATGAAAAATGCAAAAAAAAGTTGTCAAACAACTTATAATATCATGTGAATGATCAAACTAAATATTTGCATATAAAATATAAAACAAAAGAAACAATATCATTTAATTGTTTTTTTAACTCAGTTTATAATTTTGTTGTAGTTTAGCAAGTACTGTTTTACCAAATACTGTTTTTACTCATATTTTTGCTTGTTTTCTTCTGTTTTTAAATGTCAACAATAATGAAAAGTATTGTTGTTGTCATAATATAAAGTGAATATAACAATTATATGAAATTGTTGAAAACATTGAAATGATATCATTTATTCGTGGTGGTAAAAAAGCGCAAATATTGGATTTTTAATTAAAATGCTAAATAATTTTGGCATTAACGTTTTAAAGTAAAAAAGTAATTTATAAAACTAAAATGCATTATTACAAAAATAATATTATTTTTTGGTTCATTTTTTTAGCTTTGATTTTTTGGTTGTTATGGCAGATCTTTTAAATAATATCTCAGATCTCGAGATTTTGAAGATCACGATTAGTTGTAAAAATAAAACAATTAAAGCAAAGTATAATTTTGTGTTGAAAAACGGGCAAACAGCAAATATTTTGTCAACGGTTGCGCACCATACTGTTACAAATAAAAATGTATTAATTAAATTAAAAAATACAATTATAATTTATAAATATTTTTATTATTAATTATAGTTATATAATTTCAAAATAAAAAGTAACAATAGTTCTGTTAAGTAAAAGACGAAACAAAATGAAAAATGTTCTAAAATTTAAGAATAATTACATATTATTAAAATCCATATAACAATTTAATTAAAAAAGAATTAACAAAAACACTAATACGAATATTTGGGATGGAATTGCCAATGAAAACATTAATGATATTTTTTCGAGTTATTATTCTTAAATAAACTTTACCATTAATTTGATCCATTGATCTGATCTTTTCAAAAAATCAATGCTTTGACCATATTAATTGATTTGCCTCTCGATAATTATAAAAGAAACGCCGAAAACGAAACAAAAAGATTCCAACAGTCCCGACATGTTAGCAATAACATTTCTCTAACATTTTCAACCACTTTTGAGTAGAGAAGTAAACATTTTTTCTTAGTTTTTACTTTGAACAACTCTTGATACTTTTAAAGAAGAGTCCTTATAAAAATAGTCATCAAAACCACTCAAAAAAAGATACTGATCCAACTCGATGCGTGCAACTAAGTTGTTGTCGACACAAAAAATCCACACGATCATTCAACAACCAATTTCCCCTGGAAGTGACTCAAGTAAAACCCCAAACGCTTCTTCAACATCATCGACTCCATCTCTCCCAACTTTAACATTTGGTCAACTCTCTATTCCAGATCTAATGGTCATTGCTTTACAACTTGACCAACCTACAACTAATATCTTCTTTTTGATATCAACAAAGTGTAAGTCAGCAATCCATCGATTGAAGACTAACTCATTTTATGCTCCACTTGATGTGTTAAAGAAATACTTCCCAGCAATGGAGACGCTTGCTTTGAATCTTCCACCACAAATACCAAAGACTAAATATAGATACAACATCATATCAAATGCAGTCGACTTTTTTAAACCAATTGCTTCATATGAAAGACATGTCACTGTCTTACATTTAATAGTACAAACCAACTCGCAAATCATGTTGCGAAGACTCAAAAACATTATTACACTTTCACTTGATTTCACAAGGGTTGCACTCTCACAATATGAAGCAGTCTTAATCAGAGAGTCCAAAATGTTCTCTCCTAAATTCTTGAAGGCGTTCTTCATATACTGCCAAGCTAAAGACGTCATCTCTGCAAAGAAAATAGTCGAAGTGTATAGTAAGAAGCTTATGATTAAAGTCACTTTGATCGTCGACGGACTCGACTTTCATCTTCGGGACGTCGACGCGGTGTTGGATAACTCAATTCCCGAATTGAAAAATATAGTGGTCTTGCAGAATGAAGGGAGGTACATTATAACATCAGCAGCAGTCAATGGCTTTGCAGAGTACCTTCCACTCAATTTAAAAATAAAAGGGTGCGACGAAGTGGAGTTCATAGATCTCACAACTTTCACGTACTTGAATTTTTGTTCTATTTACCAACAAAAAGGAACACAACACGTCTTCCTCCCACCACAATTGAAATCGCTGAAGTTGGAAGAGACTTGTGACAATATTGTGAATTACACAACATGCAATTTGAAGTCAATGTTCCTGTCAAATTGCACGTTGTTGCAAACAAAGTACCCAGTCACCCTCCAAAAACTATCGATACTCCACTGTTTTACATCTAACTTTGTGTTACAAGAAGGTGTCGATTTACTGTCGATATCATATTGTAACAACTTAAAGAACATCCAAGTGCCAAAGTCACTCAAGAAACTCCAATTAGTGAATTGTATAGCACTCACTCTAATCAGTTCGTTGCAGTCCGGCAATTTGACTGAACTTGAAATGACGTACTGCCCCATTTTAAAAGTTGTGAATCTACCAAGCACGTTAAAAACATTTTCAGTGACTTCATGTGAAAAACTGGAGCAAACACTCGACTTGGAAAAGATTGGAATTACCGAGTTTAAGATTGTCTCGTCGCCAAGACTTCATATCAGTTCTTTTCCCGATTCATTGAAAAAGTTGCACTACCAAGACTACACAGGTAAAGTACTTGAATTGAATGAGGGAATTACTGAACTCAAGTTGAGCCATTGCGAAACTTTAGAAGCAATTTATTTTCCAGGCGATTTGAAGTATCTGAAGATATACAAATGCCCTTCTATTTCATTTGAAGGTATTCAGAACTTGGAGATGGAGAGTCTGGAAGTCGAAGGGGTCGACAGAATCGAAGAAATTTTGATACCCCTTGGACTGACTCGACTCTTCTTTGCAGACTGCAAATATTTGAAACTGCTTGATGGAATGTCAGATCTGACCAATTTGAAAGAACTTTTGATAACTACATGTCCGATGATTAATAACATATTCTTGCCAAACACCATCACTAAATTGGAGTTGTCGAAGTGCAAGTCGTTGAGTATTGTAGAGAACTTAGAAAAGCTCAAAATCAAATTCTCGGAGTTAGTGAGTGTATATTACTTGCTTGAAAGTCCAATTCTTCCATTACAAATAAACGACTTGATAATAGAGGGTTGGCTCTGTAAAGACTTACCTAACTTACAGAATGTCCAAACAACAAATTTGACGATCAACAATTGCTCTTACTTATCACAAATTAGTCTTCCAAATAGTTTAAAAATGTTCAATTGCAACGGGTGTAAAACCCTTCAAAAGATCAACATTAAAAATGCAAAGATAGAAAATATTACATTAGACTCATGCACTTCACTGAAACATGTACAAATGACAACTGATTTGACTTATTTGGTCGTCATAGACTGCTTTGGGTTATCATTCTCGAAATTACAGAATATCCCATTGAAGCACTTTGGCGTCGAGAATATCACAACAATTAAAAGTATTAAAATTCCGTCGACACTCAATACATTACAAGTCGCATTTTGTGATCGGTTGACCGAGTTAAAGCATTTAAAGTCGGTTTCTCTCAAAGAACTTGCATTGATTTCTTTATTCAGTCTTAAAACTGTGACCTTCCCCACTTCAATAACAAATCTGGTGTTAGAAAATTGTGACATGTTAAAGGAAATTAAAGGACTCAATTTGTGCGCAATAGAAGAGTTGAAAATCAGTGGACTTCTTTCTTTAAAAGCTCTTTCACTACCGACGTCGCTCACAAAATTGAATATGAATATGTGTGAACAAATCACAAAAGTTGAGGGATTGGAGAATTGTAAAAAGATCAGTTCAGTGTACTTCTTCAGATGCCCCAAACTGAATTCCTTCACATTCCCAAAGTCACTCAAGTTGTTGTCACTTGATTCTTGTAATTCACTGACATCACTCAATCTTGAAACATACGAAATTACAGATTTGGATATTTCATTATGTGAGGAACTCGTCGAAATCACATTTTGCACGACGATCACAAATTTGTCGGTGTCGTCGTGCTTCAAAATTCGAAGTGTCAAAAACATCGAAAAGCTTGATGTGAGTATCGAGTCGTTATTTGGTCTTGTTATTAACACCACACACCCAACACTTCCCGCGTCTTTTGCAAATGTCCAGAACCTCATTTCTGCAACAGAAAATTACATTGAGAATTCATCAAATGTCGTCTATTCAAGTTACTCCCCACAACTCTCACGTTCTAAATCACCAAGAGGCGACAGATCCCCAATTTTGGACTCTCCCGTCTTTGTACAACGCCCAATTTCACCACTTAAATTGTCGCGATCACCCAGTCCAAATTTCAATAGGTCTCCAAGTCCTATTTTGGTGAGAGCTATTACCCCGACATTCAAGAAAAGTACATCGCCAAGGTCATTTCACCCATCACCACTCGCTTCACCAACACTCGAAATGAATAATATATTCACCATTTCGAACTGGAAATGTGTTGATATCACTAACCTTAACACTTTTGAGTTTGAGGACTTGTACGTGTGTAACTGCTCAAAGATCACAAGACTCGACCCACCTACTACAGTCACTAACTTGATCATTGAGTCATGTAATGCAATTCAAACGTTATCACCACTCCCTAAATTGGTGAATTGCTCAATCAGATTTTGTTCTACAATGAATGGACTGTATGTGCCAAAAACATTGACGCAGTTACAGTTACTCCAATGCGAAGAACTCAGCGAATTGCATGGTCTTGAAAAAGCAAAGAAATTGGCCGAATTCTCGGTAAAAAGTTGTAACAACCTCCGCTCTATTGCACTCCCAAAAAATTTGAAGAAGATATTTGTGGAAGACTGTGAAAGACTCAATGAGTTGAACAACACGGTGAACGCAAAAATAGAAGAACTCTTGATTGAACATTGCGACTCTCTTGAGATGATCACAGTGCCATCTACACTAACTAAAGTCACTATAGAAAAATGTTATTCCCTCAAGCAGATCCCTGATATCTCAAATATCTGTCCTAATCTCAAAAAAAGTTGCGTCAAGATCGAGTATTGAACAATATTAGAAGTACTATCAAAATAGTATTATTAAACTATTATTTATATTCCCTTTTTGGTTCAGTTTTTGGTCTTGTTTTATTCATATTGTTTTTATTAGTATACATATTAGTTATTTACTAGAATTAAAAATAATACTAATAATTATAAGAAAACTAATAAGGCAAAGTACTCCAATTGGTGAAAAAGTGAAAAAGAACACTTCAAAACATAGATACCGCCATCTTAAAAATAACTCCATCTTCGATAATCATTTGAGTTTCGTTGCGTCATGTTTAACATATTCAGAATAGCCGCGGACCTCACTCACTTATTAAGTATATACTTTTTACTGACAAAGATCATTAGCCACAAAAATTGCATGGGTTTGTCTTCAGGTGATATATCGAATTATTATATTATTATAATATAATTACTATCATTGTATTATAACACAATAACTGTACAGGCGTCTCTCTTCGCTCACAAATATTGTTTTGCATTGTGTGGGTCACTCGCTACATCGATTTGTTTAGCAACTTCTATAGCATCTATAACACTGTGTTAAAAGTTGTGTATTTAGCAACGTCATTCTACACCATCTACTTGATCTCAAAGCGCTTCAGGTCGACGTATGACAAGGTCCACGACACATTCAATATGTGGTACCTCATCATCCCATCAATCGTCCTTGCTTTCATCTTCCCAGAACAATACACACTTATGGAAATCTTGTGGACCTTCTCTATTTTCCTCGAAACAGTCGCAATCCTCCCACAAATCTTTTTGCTCTCCGTCACCGGCGAAATCGAAAACTTGAACTCAAAATATATCCTTTGTTTGGGAATATATCGAGCTCTTTACATCGCCAACTGGGTGTTCAGATACGCTACAGAAGACTCTTATTGGTTTGTTTTCTCATACTGAATACAACTGTCTTGTCTTTTGGATTCTTTGTTATTGTTGCACTGCGGTGTGATACTCATAAATAGGAGCCCACTCGTCTGGGTCTGCGGAATTGTCCAGACGGTGTTGTACGCAGATTACTTCTATTATTACATCAGAAGCCACATCAGCGGGACGAAGTTTGTCTTGCCTTAACTGAAATTATTCTTTAACTCTATGTTGGACGGTTTTCAACGTGTTTATAGGTTTTGTAAATTAATTTAATTAACTTAATTAAAACAACTGGTGATGGTTCCAAGGCAGTTCTCTACAAGCGAAGTGTCTTGGAAAACATAGCCCCTGCGAAGTTTGTCGGCAATTTCAATCAACACACTTTCATACTCTGTGTCAAGGTTGTCCAACGCCGTCGAGGTCTCATATTCACATTCCATTTCCCTCAGACCGTCTGATCCGTTCAATTCCTCCATTTTTTTCGCCTCAAGTGTGGTGTTTGTTTTGGCATTCTCAATCTTTTCCTCTCTCTTTTGTGGCGTTACGGGCACCTGAATTTTTTCCTCGACTTTTGTCAATTTCTTTGGTTCCTTTCCGACATTTCTCTCACTATTTGGGATCGGCTTTTTTAAATCTTCTTGCGCTTTTTCTTCAATTTTTTCGGCTTTTTCCCTTTTTTCGATTGTTTCTATTTTTTGGCAAATTTGGGGGGTTTCCGTCGTTTTGTCGACGTCAATCACGTTATTTATTTTTTTCGCATTTTGTTCGAGTGGTGTGAGGAGTTTTGTTTGCGTCGGGAGGAGAATTGTTGATTTTTGTTCCAAGATTTTTTCTTTCTTTTTTTCCGTTTCGAACTTATACATTAATTCAGTGTAGTTAAATTTTGCCTCGATCTTTTTCTCAATAACAGCAAAGAAGGATTTTTTGAGGAACATTTTTGCATTGTTTGTTGGTAATTTGTAGTTAATTTTCTTAATAAAATCGTCCCATTCTTTTAATACCTTTTCATTTTTTTGGAACGATTGGGGGATATAATGATTTTCATCTGAAAATTCAATGAAACTCATTTCCTTGATTACGGCTATCTCCTTCTTCATCTCGTCGTCATGCGTTGAATCCACGACATCCACAAACCTATTGAACGCATCTTTGATCTTTCTAAGAAGCCCAAATTTGGAGTCAATGATGATTTGGCGAATTATTGATTTCGTCGTGTGACTAAAGGGAAAAAGAACTAAATAGATCTGGTCCAACCACATCATCCCTTTCTGACTAAAGATCCCACGATAAAACATTTCTACGGTATTCCCGTGTAACTCCTCGTCTATCATTTTCGCAAAGAAGATCAGTCTCTCCCGCATAACTTCTTGTGTCATCGTCACAATTGTTTTTTTCAAGTTTCTTTTTTATAGTTTGCTTATAGTTGTTGTATAATTTAATAATAGTAAAAATGAATTAGGCATAGAGCGTTGAAAAAGAGTACGAAACTACGGGAAGTTGTATATCAGCAAGACCACTGTGTTCACGAATGTATGATAAGACCTTTTCTATCTGTGGAGTGTCTTCTTGCACAACGAAAGACTCGCATTTCAATTTTTCCATCACACACTACAGGGTTGGTTTCTTTATAATACTTTTACTATAACTTTTATTCTATTTAAGATGAATAACTATTTAACTATAAATATACAATAAATGGCATTTTAATAGTAAAAAAGCAAACGAGTGTGTAAAACGCCGCGGAAAAGTCTTTGAGATGGTATGGCGGTTTTAGTTGTGTGAATTTTGAATCACTTTCGGTGGACAGAGTCGATACCTCTCCTATGCTATCTACAAAATCGACAGTGACAACTTCTTTAAAGCAAAAGGCCTGATACAATTTGTTGACCAACGAGTATGTGTGAGTAAGTGGAATATGTTCGCCAGTTATGATACAGACGTTGTTGACTGTAGCAACCTCGAATTTGTTTCCATCGTAATAATATTTATTTATAGTTAATTTATAGTTACTTACTGCGCTTTTAAAAAAATTGTCTGGGAGGACAACAGCAACGTCTTTCTTTTCTCCGACAATTTGCGGGTTGCACACGCCCTTTATTGGACTTATTTCTATACCATACACATATGCCTCCGAATCGTAGTAACGGACTTGGCCAAATTCGTCGTCGTGTCTTCTCAACAGCGGATGGTTCATTTACTATTTATGAGATAATAGTATTTTTAATGATATAAAATAGTAAATGTCTAAATATAATAACAAATAGTATTTTGTATAATAAAACTATAAAAACCATATGAACCAACAAGAAACAATTAAGTCTCAATATGACTATGTCCCACAAAACGAGACAAACAACGTCCAGTCGATATTCCAAAGTCCCGAACAAACATTTAAAGAATTTTTGGGTGATATGAACTCATATGACTCGTACCATGATCCTGTTGGGCGGTGTTCACAAAACGTTTCTCAGTACTTTAAGTTTTATGTGTTAGCTATTTTTGTGTTCTATATCCCAGTCGCCTTACTCAACTTTAAGTTCTTCTTGGCCGAGTCCGCACTCAACTTCTCAATTTACTTTTTCGGAGCTAAATTTGGCCAATTAACAAAGCGCGTCGACCCGTTTTATAAAGCTCTTGTCTATTGCCTGGTCCTAATTTTGTTCACCTACCCAACAAAAGACTTCATCGTGTGGTGTTTTACAGCCGCTTCTATATCAGGTGTGTTTTCAATAAGTCTTCTAATTATTAACAAATAGGCTCTTACCTCCACGCACTGACGAGAAAGGCGGAAAATGAAACGACTGACTTAGAGTTTGAGTATGTCGACTGAATAACATTTTAATATTTTGTTTTTTATATTTTGTTATATATAACATAAATACAAATAAATGTTATATATAACACTTTATTTGTCTCTTTTTAAAAATGTTATAGTTTGTGGATATGAAACTCAATTTTTTGGTACTGCAAATAACAGATGATCAAACAGAAACAAAGCCACCCATTCTACCTCCGCTCAGAGAATGGGACGACTCACACAATAGCAAAAACAGTCACCACTATTGGGTCAAATGGCGATATTAAAATTTCAGAGGAACTCCCGGATTTGTTGATGAGACATTGCACGCTTCTGGCGTTTAACGGCGGGGTCTTCAAGCTGTGCAACCTGAGCAAAATCAAACCAACGAAAGTGAATAATGAGGAGATGGCTGGTCCCGTGTATCTCAAAATAGGTGACACTATCGAAATATGTGGGAGGAAATACACCCTCATGAGTGAGGACAACATTGCCGAAATTAAACGGAGGAGGGAGGTGGAAATTGAAGCGAAAAAGCCCAAGAAAGCAGAGGAAGATACACTGGAGTTTAAAAGAGTCTCTCCACCTCCAAAGGTGACAAAGAAACTTTTGGGGGTAAATGTATCACGTCAAAAAGTCGTCACACAGTCCCCTCCAAAAGATGAACAAAGCAGTTTTGAAGAAGATAGTATTGACTTCTCAAGTCCACTCCCCATTAAAAATACCCCAAGTTGTGGAGATAATGGCGTTGAAATCAGTGACTTAGTAATTCACAATCCTTTCATGACTCATTCGTTGGTCGAAACTAACAAACAAACGCCAACGAAAGACGATAACTTCACTATCACTTTTAACCTTGAAAATTCGATCTGTTTGCAAAGAGCAAATATTTCAAATGTGGATAAAACGACTCAGAAAGTTCTTGATGACAGAGAAGAAGACTTCTCAGAGAGCTGCGGCGACGCTATTTCAGTCGATTGGACTGATCAACCACTCTCACAGGATAAAACCGCTCAAATGGACTTGGAGATGAAGCAAAACCCCCTAGAAGACGAAGAAGAAAACGTTTCGTTTGACGAAGAACCTTTCACTGGGTTCAACTAATCTGTTGTTTGTGTGTACCAATTTACTATATGTATTGTTAATTTTATTAATAAAATATAGTATAAAACCAACAATAAATTAGAAGATTGATACAGAGCTACATCTTGACGCTTCTTGGGAGGAGCGTGAAGTGGAACACGCCATTCTTCTCAACAAGTCTGTTTGTTCTTTGTGACGCGGTTTTTCCCGTGCAAATGACTTCTTGAAGGTCTTCAATCATCGAAGTGTTTATATTAAAAAAACCATGTGTTGCGCCGTCGATGTTTCGTTCCAAGTCACCAGTGTCTATCACGTCAATGTCTTCAAGCTTCTTCCCATTCATGTCTTTGAAGACTGTGACGTTCTGTCCGATTCGTATTCCTCGGAGCAAAAAATTGGAAGACATCAACGCCATATCCCTTGAGTCTGCATAGAGCGATACATGTTTTATGTATGGAATAAAGTCGGGGTAGTCGTCGACAAATGTCAAAGCTTCGTAGTCCCCAGATAAGAGAATCAGGTTGTGCACTTCAAGTAAGTTGTGTTCCTTCCCGAAGTCCTCCGTTGGAGCAAACAACTCTTTTAACATCGAGAAGCTTTGCATGAAGAATCTCGTACCAAGGGAATGCGCCAAGAAATGGATTTTCTTGATTTTGGTGTTTTTCAGGGAATACATGAATCGCCTTAAATCGCGGTGTACTGCATTGTCAGAAGACACGTTTGCAGCACAACAATATAAAAACGGGTTTGAACACGACGGCCATGAAAACACAAAGGGAATAATGTGTTTGGGGAAATGGCCAAGTGCAAGTAATTGCCCCAACCGCTTGAGTGCGTCGACCAATGTATGGTTCAACCCATGAATGTATATCAAAGCTTCGCGAGAGTCTTCTGTGATCGGCTTCCAACGCTCATCCACTGCGATTGTGTTGTTTTCCCAATTCAATTGAATGTCATCAACATCTCCTTGAAACCCGGTGATTGACAAATTGTTTAATGGGTCAACACTCAGCGTGATTGTTTCAATTGGTTTGTTGTCGTCAGAGTGTTTGTAATATTGGAACTGATTCGATAAACAGTGGCACGGCCCTTCGCATGTACACAGATTTGGCCCATTAATAAATCTACATCGAGGATACCCCAAATAAAAATTACCTGAGACATTACACTCCACACCAGCTACACCATAATGAAGGGGTTGTCTGTGGTTGGTGTATTTGCCCACCGCATTTGTCGCAAATATGATGCGGAGACTGTGAAGCACATTACGCGTCCCACTCTCAATCGACTCAAACGGGCCAACCGGTTCACCCCCTTCAAACCACCCCGTGACAAATTCGCCTTGGTCCGACGTGTCAATCCAAAGTGATTCACCCTCGACATACCCACTCACCTTACTCTCCAAAACACATAGATGCGGCGATCCAAACGTTTGTTGTTGTTGAATTTCGTATCGAACCGTATCTTCTTGAATAATCTTTTTGATTGGATTTGTCTCGCGGCGAATCTGACTGATATAAAACCTCTTCAGCCGTAATTCCGTTGAATACACGAACACGGAAAACAACACAAATAACACACACGCAAACACTACTTGTTATTTGAGTCTATTATTATTAACATAACTCAATCAATGTATAATAAATATATATGTAATGGATAATATATATAATAGAACATATTATATGTGGATATAATAGATTGACAAACAATACGGTATGTAATACCCCGGTTGATAATACCACGAGAGTAAGAAAAACACGACCAAAAAGATATAACCTTCTGTTAGCGCAATTCTGTACTTGATTTGAAATCGTGGGCCAAAACAAATACACCCAAGTGAACAGACACCAACCAACACAAACTCAACTATAAATTGATTGTGTCGTTTGAGTATAAGAATTTGTGTGATGAGGTATACCACAAATACCATAGCAATACATATGGAGTACAACACACTGAATGTCTTGCCCGCATTGGTGAATGTGGTCGTAATCTTTCGGTTCCACTGTCTTTGTTTCATGTGCCAATACGTGTGTAGTACGCCTGATATTTCTTGGATGTCTTTTTCAGGGTCAAGGATAATAGAAATCGATGCACCGGTATCCGGTTGTGCTTTGTCGTACGAACCATAAGAAGTCTTGCTCTTGTTTTCTTTAAAAGACATAGTACTTTTCGAGTTTCTTTTCGCCATTTCAATCTCCTGATTTCTTTTTCCTCTTTTGCCAAAATGTTTTTTGTTGGGAACGAAATACTATATTTTTAATATAAAAATAATATATTTTATAGTTTTTTTTTAATATTATTTACATCGTTTTTTTTTAAACATTTACTATTAATTCATTTTTTGTAACAAAAAAATATAAATGTTATGTATAACATTTTATAGCGCAAAAAAAACAAAGACAATAATTGGTTTTCAAAACTATATTAATAGATAATAAAAAAATGATTTGATATACAGAAGGGAAAATGAACCTTACCCCAGGAAATGTACTTTAGCCCAAAGAAATTACTATATTTTTCTTTAAAAACACGGGTTTTTACTAAAAAACAAATATTTTCGAAAATTGACTTTTATTTAGATATAGTTTATTATTTTAATATAACAATAAAAAATAATTAGTTTTTCTATGGGCTAAGGTTAATTTCCTGGGCGAAGGTTTAATGGCCCTACTGTATAGTTTAATCCAAATAAAACCGCCAAAGAGTTAGTTTTATTCCCCGAAATTAAAGCTTGCTGCGCCGTTTTTGTGACTATACTAATTCAGGGTTCTGTTTCAATTTAACTGGCGCAATTTTAGTATTAGAATACCATTTTTAAAAAATACTATAGTAATAAATTACTATAAAATAGAAAATGCCGAAGATCAACTTCAGAAAAAGGTCTTTTCTTTTCTTAAACAAATTCAAAGAAATTTTTGGTTTGACAATGCATTACGATTTGCATACTATTCTGCTTATAATAATAATTGCTATTACGTCATTAGTTATTGAATGGAATATCCCACTTATTTACACACTAACTATATGTATCTATTTTTAATTAATAATAATACTAATTCAGGTGCAGTTTGACTCTTTCTTCTGCATTTTAGGTTTTTGTTGTGAGAAAGACCATTTCTAACACAAAATCCACATTAAACAGAAATATACAAAACTTGTAACTCAAAAAATACACAACGGAGATGGAAATCGAAATGGATACACACACACCAACGCTCCAGAATCGGAAGCTCGAAGAGGACATGTTTGAGATTAATGGCGCTATGGACCAACACGAAGTTTGTGTTTCTATTTAACTATAAGTGAACTATACTTTCAACGTCGAATACAAACAGACAGACACGTCATATTGTATTTATAAGTCGCACATAAAACACAATGACGCACAGAAAGATCCAGTTGGAGATAACGTTTTAGTCAAAGTGAAAATCGATCCTGACGAGTCGAAGAAGATAGTTCGATACAATGAATACCCCATTATCAAAAAGTTGAAGAACATCCTTCTATTCCGAGTGTTTGGGTATAAAGGCACGCTGGTCCATGTGATGGCGTTGTACTTTCTTCTTCTTTCGATCATTTCTGCGTTGATTGGGTCGACAATGGACATTTGTATTGATCAGATCTTCCAATTAAGGAAATGGCTACTTGGGTTGTATGATGCTCGATGGTTCAAAATTCTCATTTGGATGTTATTCACTATGATAGGATCAACATTAGCATTTTTAGTCACTAAGTACATCTCTCCAGCTGCTGGAGGCTCTGGGGTATCTGAAGTTAAAGTGACTATATTAGGAGTGAATATCCCTGGGTTGTTAACATTCAGAACACTTGTTGCCAAAGTAGTTGGGTTGATCATAGCAATTGGGAGTGGGTTGTGGTGTGGGAAGGTCGGGCCATTCATTCACATAGCGTCGTGTGTTGCTGCCAATTTAACGCACCTTCCCTGTTTCAAGTTCCTTCGGAAGTCGAACGACTTGTTTGTGCAAATGATAGCTATAGCAGCGGGGTGTGGAGTATCTTCCAATTTTGGGACTATAATTGGTGGTCTCTTGTTTTCAGTCGAAGTCACTGCCGCGTATTACCCCGTCAGAAATTATTGGTTTGCAACGTTCACATCTGTAATCTCGGGGTTGGTGTTTAGAACGATTACTAATTTGTATCGACACAACTACGACACACTCTTCTTGGGTCTTTTAAATATCAAATACACATTCCCTGCTATTCGATATAGAGAAATCGGAATTGGCCTGTTAATGGGAGTGATCTGCTCGTTCTTTGCTATCTTCTTTGTGAAGTTTGTATCGACCATATTCAATACTAAATTGTATCTTCGGATATATAAGCTTGGTCGGATACCTTATTTCTATTTGTTCTTGGTAGCACTATTCACCGCAGTCGTCACGTCGCCATGGGGAAATATATCGCCACTTGGCTTGTCAACAAATCAGACTCTTGCCGTCTTGTTTGACAATAAGAGTCTTGTAAATACCTTTGGGGAGCATTACCTGATCGCGCTGGTTATTTGTTTCTTTGCTCGGTTCACAATCACTTCACTTTCTGTGAGTCTTCCAGTGCCTGTTGGTCTTTTTGCGACGAATATAGTCGTTGGGTCTATTCTTGGGCGATTTGTTGGTGAAGTCTTTGAGACGTGGGGATGGGAAAATTCACTTGGACCGTCCGGGTTTGCGCTCATGGGTGGTGCTTGTTATGTTGCGTCACTCACACAGACGTTTTCGGCTGCGATAGTAGTTTCTGAATTGGTTGATAATGTTCAGTTGATGATTCCACTGTTAATAGGTACCATCTTTGCTATTTCAATTGCTCGACTGTTTTCATATGGTGTATATGACCAAGTCACGATTGATAAGAAGTTGCCATATATTCCCGATATCCAATACTCGACTCCACAATCAGCTGAAATGGTGATGGACACTGATATGATACCAGTGCCTGAGTGTACCAATATCATGGAGTTACAAAAAATAGTCGATGGCTTGAAAACAGTAGTCGAACGGTCACTACCTGTAGTGGATACGCGTGGTTTGTGGTTTTACTTTCATTCTATATTATAGTAATATTTACTAATATAATAAATTAGTATATAAAGAATACTTTGGTACAACAAATTATATTGACAATTAGATGGTAGAGTCTTGTTGGGACAAATTAAGTTGTCGGAGATCAGAAGAATTCTTACCGTCACTCTCCCCGAGTCAGTTGCTGGTAAATTTATGTTGGACTATAAAGAGTGTCCTTTGGTTGTATTAAGACATACCCCACTATCAGAGGTGTATATGTTGTTTGTAGCAGCACAAGTCGATTCCGCTTTTGTCACACATAACGGCAGATTGATGGGTGAAATCAATAAAAAGTGTCTGAATCAGGCTATCGAAAAACAAATGAACATTTTGTTTTAATTATAATTTCTTTGTGGTATTATTATAATTATTATAATTATTATATTATAATGGTTGAATACTTCAATATCTTTGTTCTTGAGTAAAAAAATATTGAAAATTTTAATTGTTTTTTATTATTAATTAAAGTCTTAATATTGAAGTAAATTAATGTGAATGGTTTTGAAGTTATTTCTTTAACTTGTGGTTGAATCATTTTTATTACTATTACACATAGTATTAATATCTATAATAGTATTTATTTAATCAAATAAATACTTAGAACCAATAAAAAGTTATAAATATAGTTATTTGTATAGTATCACTGTTTGACTTGTTGAACACACTTTATTACACAATTATTGAAAAATAATTATAAAAAACAATTTTATTTACGATATAAGTTCAGTTTAATTGGTTATACATTGTGTGTAATAATTAATTGTCTTAACTGGAGTATAATCATAATCAGGATTTTTAATTCATTTCCCGATTGTTTCAAAGAAATCAAAGAGACAAATGGCTACAAATCAAATTTAAAATAAAAAATCCTAACCATTATATAATGTTAAGAACAAAAGTGTATAAAAAACGGTTATTCGGAACTCCATCTTTAAAATGCACCTCAAAAACAACCTTAAAAAAATCAAAAGTAAAGGTCAATGAAGAGAATAGGTGGAAAGAAGAATGAGAAAGCAGTTGGTGATATTACTGCTTCATGGTCTGATGTGAAAAAAAGTGATGCGATCCAAAAAGATGGGCCACATGGAGATGTCTACTTATGTATGTTCAAACAGACAAAAACGGTTGTTAAAGTTCTAGGAAAAACAAACCAAGAGCAGTTCAAAATAGATGCAGAGAAGGTTAAAAATATAATGCACCCCAATGTTATTTTGATATTAGGGTATTGTGTAGAGAAGAGTGTGAATGCTATTATATATGAACCCATGAAGTGTAATATGTATCAAGCGATATATGAAAAGACGAAATGCCCAAAGAGTCTTCAAGACTTGAATATGCTTCAAAAAATGAAGATCCTACGAGACGTTGCTGTTGGATTGACATTCATTCATGATATCAAAGATATGTTCCACGGCGACTTAAAGCCACAAAACATTTTATTTGATGAAAATGGGAATGTGAAGGTTTCAGACGTTTACTTTACTGCTTTTAGAACACCGACCAAAGCAAAGAAAGGCAACTATTTCGTTTGTGGAGACTCAGGAAATTTATATCAATCACCGGACGTATGGACCGGGTCGCAACCGTGCAAAGCGTCTGACGTGTTTTCATTTGGACTTATAGTGATTGAATTTTTGGATGGGAAAGCGAGCTATTATGGAAATACCAATACACAGAACGACGAGGCGGTGTTTAGTTATTTGAATAGTAAAAGTAAAATTATAGTACCAAGTCAATTCAACAAATCTCTAACAACGATGATAGAAGGCTGTTTAAAGTACGAAACTAAAGACAGAATTCCAATGGGAAAGGTTTTGGCTAGTTTCGACGATATCATTGTAGACTCAACTATGACTTCAACAGTCGCTAAGAAGTTTTGGAAGGAATGCTTTGTCGACGGAGAAGTCCCACTCTTCCAAGTGGCTTATGAAGACTTCTTCGCGTCTTTGGGCGCCGTGACGGACGACCTCACAGACGACCAATATAACGAAGTAATGGAAGACTTCGCCAAATTTTTCCCGGAGACCGGAGTGATCACTGCGCCGGACTTTGACGTCACAGTTAATTGGTTTGGTAACTATTTCGACGACAAAGAAATATTCACAGAAGTCTCCAAAATAGCTACTGCAAAGTTCTTTGCGGGTCTGATAGACAAAAAAAGAGCAGAAGGAATGTTAACTGGGAAAGTCGACGGAACGTATTTGGTCAGAGCATCAACAACAGACCCTAAAAAGTATCCATTCACTATTACACGTAACGCAAATGGAAGTGTCAAACACCACAGAATAGAACGACTTGCTTATGGCGCACAAGTCGAAAAAAAGTTCACATCAACTATCGATAAAAAGACTTTCACGGCTAAAAACTTGTTCGAGTTGCTCAACAAAATGAAGGAATTTAATATTATCACAACAGAAGATGATGGCAAAGAGGTATCTGCTTATGGTGATATGTAGTGATTTGACACTTTTTATCTATTTTGTTAATATAACACTATAATTGTGTATAACTTATAACTATAAATAATCGAAGTTTAATTAATAATTAAACTTAAACTATATTTTTATTAATTCCATTTTAATTATTAAAACTTTTGGTTATTTTATAATATGTTTTTCTATAACCAATTAGTTTATTTAATATTAAATATTTATGATTTATTAAAATTCAATTAGAATAATAAAATAAATAATAATACTAGTTATAGTTTATTTATTCTAGAATTATTATTAACTTGTTAAAAGTTAATAATTATAATATTATATTAGTAAGTAAATAAAATACAATTTATTACTATTTAAATAACCAATTATTTAAGTCTTTTTAATTTGATTGTAAAAAAAATTAAATTTTAACTATTTTTTGACTTAATTTAAAAAATAGATTGATGACCTCTGGTCCAAAACCACTGTTTTTGCGCAAGATAACTAAAAAATCGCAAGAATACCAAAACTATATTATAAAACAGCAAGTTTTTTAACTCAAATATTGAACTCATATTTGGTTGTTTTTAAAAGTTCATCAAAATGTTATCTAGATATGTTTATTATAAATTATAATATTTTTATTAATCAATAAAATAATAGAAATAAAATAAAAAGATCCGAGTAAAACAAGTGATGATACCCAATAATTACCCACAATCGATGGCAAACTGTCGCCGAACCACCACAAAAACATCGAAAACAAGTTTTTTGAGGATTATTAATCCCACTCATCGATCTAGTGTTACAAAAACAGTGCATCAACCACTGGCAGCCTTAACGACATCAACGGTGCTTCAACCACATTCTACGCCAACGACACAGCCAACACAACTTCCAACATTTTTTGTGAGAGAACCATTTTCACAGATTCAACCACGCAACATACCAGTTGTGCCAACAAAAGAAGCAAAAAAAAAGTGAAAACAGTTAGATTGCAAGCAGAACAAACAACAGCAATTGAGGAGTCGAGACAGGAAAGAAGAAGACAAACAACTCAACTTCAACGGATAAGATTGGAAGCTATGACTAACATTCGAGCTTCAACTGTAATCAAGAAAGTGTTGATATGTTCCTTTTGAGAATGGATAACGAAGAATTTGATCTCGAAGACGTTGCTACCCCAATTGCGACTATCACTACTCACAACAAAGAAACGTTGTGTTCCATTAACCTAACTACCAACGAAAGATGTGTAATGTTGACTGGACTTCAAAAAAATCATTTTGATGAATTATGCAAGTTGATGAAATACAAAAACGGATATTACAGTGTAAACAGAGAAAGTGAAGTTGAAAGAACTATTGGAAAGTTCACAGGCACAATACCAAACACTAAAGTAGTCACTCTTAACAAGAAAAACCAACTCACTTATGAAGATCTGCTACTATTGTTACTTACTCAATTACATGGTGATTACACGTAAAAAAGAATTGTTTGAATTCTTAAACATTGAAATCATTTCACCAGATAACAACGAAAATGAAGTGAACGAGATTAAAAACAGAAGAAGAGAATCAAATATATCTAAGTGGCTTGATCTGGCACTCGACTTGTTTAGTGAAGCAATGAAAACAATATTTATCGACTCTGTGTTAAAATGTGCAGAATGTACACAAAGCTTCGATATTGGTAGATCAGCTGCTTTCGGAAAATATATACCAGAGTTAAAGCATGTGTTTTTTGCAGTTGACGGTAGAGATCAGGCAATCAACAATAAAAGAGTTGAACACGGAACGACAACTGTGTTGGATAAAATTTTTTTCAGTTTTAAACATAATCATTCAGGCTTGAAGTCGGAAGTTGTCATCAATTATTTCGGTATGGTGGTCAGTATCGTGACCGAAATCGAATGCAGTGTTCACGACAGTGTGTTATTTAAAGATTATTATTATGAAAAATGTGTCCCACGTAACATGTTGATATTGGCAGATGGTGGTTATTCTTCTTGCCCATCTTGTGTAATTCCATTTAAAATAATTAATGATCTGGAGTTAACTGAAATACAGAGGAGGCACATTAAAAACCGTAACAATTGTCATTCGTCTTGTCGAATTGAAGTCGAGAACTTATTTGGCTGGTTAGTAACAACTTTTAAAATGATGCGAAATGTGTGGAAATTACCATTGAACAAATACGGATCCTATTCAATTGTTGCACATGCAGTTCTCAACTTTATGATAACAAAAAATCCTATGCGAAATGTTCATTTTTATTTATTCAACTCGTATTTGAGAACTAGTCCCGAAAACAGAAACTTGTTTTTGGAACCACTTCCACCCACTACAAGAAGATGGCTGACTGCATTTATAGAACAAAGAGACGTATCCGCAGTTGTAAATGGTAATGAAGAGTTTGTTGATGGACGTGGAACTGCTAATGTTGTTAATGAAGATTGATTTCAATTTATTGTTTCATACTTTTATAGTTTATTTATTATAATTTTGTAATTTGTGTTTTTTATTTGTTTTTGAGTTACTATAATTTAATAATAAAATAATGGATTAAATATCTTGCTTATGTTATTAGATGTTGCGCAAGTTTAACAAACTTGTTCATTTTTGTTGTTTTTGTCTAAAAATGGAATTTAGACCAGATGTCATGAAAAACAAGTAATTTTGATATCTGAAATAATAATAAAATGTAATAATTAAAATATTCTAACAAAAATAGATTATAAGTAAGTATTTTAACTTAATTTTATACTTTATTCTTTAGTTAAATATTAATAAAAATATTTGTTTTTTTACAATATGTTTTAGTCAGAAAACATTGTTACAAGGTTTTGGTCAATGATATTTGGAAAATATCGGGAATCTGTTCGAAAAAAACTTGTTTCAATTTTATTACCTTTTTTTTATTTTTTATCTATATCCTGATTATTTGGACCATTATTTGCAGCGATCTTCCTTTTGAACAAACGTGCAATTTTTTTGAGAACTGTAACTTAATTGCATTATTTTCGAGTTGTCAAGTAAATTATTTTTTGTCTTTTTGTTTTTTATTGAAATAATAATAATCCAACAAAAACAGTTCAAAAACTGTAAAAAAAAACTAAACAAACAACTAAATACCAATAATCTTTGGTTAAATAAAAATATAAAACGAATTGTACGAATTGTTTATTTGTTTTATTGAAAATAATAAACTTGTATCCCAAAAATGTTATTCATAAAGAATTGAGTTTTAAATTATTTGTACAAAATTTTTATGTATATATAATATATATAATATTTTATGTATATATACATAAAATATCATATTTATCATTTATATAAAAGTTTAACTACATTATTAAAAAAACAATATTTTTTATATTTTAAATTAATTATTTGTGGTTATAATTAATTTATTATTATTAAACCGTTTTTGATCAAATAAACGCTAAAAAATAATAAAACAACACTGAACATAAATATTTAAACAACATTTAAACATTTGTTTCAAAATGATATTAACTACAATTAATTATATCATTAACATAATTCATACTTTAGCAAAGATACATTATGCATTATTTGAACTCGTTTTCCAAATTTTCCAATACATTTATATCATTGATATCATATTTATCGATATTTTTTAATTTGTATTTTTTAACAATTTCACAAATGTCAAAATTACCACACAATGCGATTCTTATTTGTGCTTCGAGGTAGTCGTTTAACATTTTGTTTTTATATTTTGTTTTTATATTTGCCATTGTTGAAAACCCACATTCTGAAAGGACAGAAGTTGGGAATATCGATTTTATCACAGCACAAATTCGATATAAATAAGGAAAGTTGTTTTTGTTAAATTCCAAACCCGTGTATTTTTTTGTATTTAAAAATGGTAATGCATAAAAGGCCACAAGCTCACCCATCAATTTTAACGTGACATTTTTATCAAAAATTTCGGTTGTTGTTATTTTCAAAGTTTGTTTATCGACAAATTTCTGAATAGAATAACCAATGTTAAAACCTTTCGTCATAAAATTAACGATGTTACGGTTCATTTTTCCTTCCAAACAATAATCAAACAAATAATCCAATTTATTGAAATCATCAAATTTAACATCAAACACGTCGAACAAATCATTAATAAAATTTCCTGCCAAACTTGTTCTTGAAGAAGTATTTTTACACACTGAATTATAATAAGGAAAATACATCGATTTTATATAACTTTTATCTCGGTATTGTTTTACAAAGTTTACAAAATAATTAAGTTGTCTTAATATTCCCAAACAATCCAAATTTTCAAGAGTGTTTGTTTGGAGAAGTTTACAAATTGATGAAAATTGTTTTAAAATATCAACCAAAAAAGCCAAATCAATATAAAATTGTTCAGAACTCATTTTTTCAACAATTATTATTGATTTTTTGTTTTTGGGGTAGAATATATTAATGTAAGATATTATACATGAATAATTTAAAAAAATGATTTCTAATGAAGTCGCGCGAGTAATCCACCTTGTGATTGAATAACCCAAAATTGATTGACAAGGTGCATTTTGCGTTCTAAAAAATGTGTTCATGGTATCTTTAATTTTCGGACTTCCAAATACCCAACTTAAAAACAAATTGACGGTTTCAATAACATGACATTTTTTTAATACTGCTGCACATAAATTTTCTTGATGTAATGCACATTTAATTCTAAAAACTACTCTCACGCCTAAATCAATTAAATTATCAACTAAAATCGTTTTAGTTTTTTCCATAGTTATACACGAGTCAGTTGTCAAATTTGTTATTTTTGTTAAATCTATATGTTCTTGTTCAAAATAATTAATAATTGCACTTTTTGTTGAAATTGAAGAATTATTATGGTTTTTATTGTGGATAATTGTTAAAAAGGTGTCATGTACGACTAAATCTGAATTTACAATTCTAACAAAAACAATGAGTTGTGATTTTGAAGCACAATCTGTCGTTTCATCAAATTGAACACCAACACACTCTGAATTATTTATTTCTAAAATAGTTTTGTTTTTCAAATAATTCCCAATCAAAATTATGGAATTTCTCATCGCCTTTTCTCCTAATTTCAGTTCACTAACAAATGTGCACAAAACATCAAATTGTGGGTTTTTATAATTCATTTTTTTTCAACAAATTTAACAAACAACTCAATGACTCTGAAATTACACTTCCCATTCCAACAGGCAACATTTTCTTTGAAATGATTTTTGCTACAAAATATTTAAATTCTTTTTTCGCTAAAACCCATTCATTTAATGGAGTTATTGTATGAAATTTTGTGTCAAAATTAACCAATTCTTTTTTACTTATTAATGGTATAGTTGGATGCCAAAACTCATAATTAAAAAATGTGTTTTGATGGGGAAGTTCTAAAATTGGTAACATATTTTCGTTTCGTGATGATTCAAAGATACGTTGTTTAATACACATAAAAGTCTGATGATCTTCTTTAAACATGTTTATAAATTGTTTGTGAATTCTATTTGCGTGGCTTTTAATATTATAAGTTTCTTTACGACAAATGCTGCACAATTTTTTCCGTTAAATTCAACAATGAATTCTTTATAATTCATTACAATGTGTTATTAATTAAAAAGATTGTTTTAAATAATACATTTTTTATTTCTCACAAATGTACAAATATTTTTTATGAAAAGTAATAATGACATTTTTATTTTTCTTGTAATTGTGAGTGATTTATTTTTTTGTAATAAAATGGTAATTATAATAATGATTTCGTGTTCAAATATAATTAAACATATTTTTATGAATTTATCATTTTTTTATTAAAACGTGTAAACATCTTTTTAAATTTGTGTGTAAATAACTATAATACTCTTTTTTAATATATTTTGTTATTTATTTTTAATAAGAGTAAAAGAAGATTATTTTTCGTAATGTTGTTGTAATAAAATGGGTTTTTATCTTAAAAAGCAAAGAAAAGTGGTGATGTGTACACAATAATTTTAAGATATTATGAGTTCTGTTCTATAATTAAAAAAAGGAAGATCGCTGATTATTTGTTTATTTATTGATAAATAAATCGACGTTTTCAACATACTCCAATTGAATCACTATTGTACAATTATTTAACATTCAACCAATTATTTAACAGAATTTGAATAAAAAATGATGTTAAATTGTTTTTGGACAAAAAAGTCAAATGGTTAAGCAAATTATAAACATTACTATATATTATAATTAATTTTATCATAAATTGTAGTAAAATATTTTAATAATTATAGTAACAAGTATCACATTTACAATTATTTAAATTGACAATATTGAGTTGATAAAAATAAAAATAATTGTTTTAAAATTTTAAAAAATAAAAGAGTAGAGTTTCAAAAATACCAAATAAAACAGCCGTTATAAACAAAGATTGTTTTATACCAAACAGTAAAATATTGTTTTAATTTGTTTTATAACTATTGTTAAATTAGTTAATAAAAACAATATTATATTATTGATTATTCTATAATAAATGATAATTATTCATTATATAATATTTAGTCAATACACAATAATTCTTCAAATTATTTTACAATTCAATATGTTCATTTTTTGAGTGAAATAATCGAAAAAAACGGACTTATAACAGGTTTGTTTATTTTAATTTATTTTATGTTATTTATAAAAAAATACTTGTTGTGGTGTTTTAGTCGATTAAAAATACCAACACTTAAAAATTAGTTTAAATGAAGTGTGTTTTTATGATAATCAACTTAATTTCTTTAAAGTAAATAACAAGAAAAAGAGTAACGCCTACATTTTTTACGTTTCTCTCGGCATTGAACATCTTCAAATCTATTGTAAAATGCGGTATTTTTAGTCTTTTTTAAAAATCCTCTTAGAACGACGAATTTAGCCTTGTCCCAATCAATAATGTCCACGTTGTTCATTACAACAATTTGGAATTTAAAAATTAAATACAATCAATTATGGAAATGCTCCTCACATTTCTATACATGTCTATAACAATGGCAGTCAACTTTGATGTTCCTTGTATGCTTGGGATGCGTCTCGAAGCGCTTGAAAATATTGGTGTTCGTGGGGTAGTAGGGACACGTGCAGTTAAATCTCTTCAGTGTTATGCCGACTTACCACATTATGAAAAAGATGTGTACGCATACTCAACACAGTCTTACTGTTTAATATCACAAGCATTATACTTCCAGACTATTACAAATGATTTGGTACCAAGGTGTGGTGCCTGTATTGAAATCACTGGCCCTTCTATGAAACCAATAACATGTCAATTAGTAGGGTCTTATATGGTACCAAATGCGACAGACTTGACGATGCAATATAGTATTCCAAGAACATTCTTTGCCGATCGCAAGTTTGTTAGTGATGTCGCAATGAACCCGAGCACAGACGATTCTTCTATAGTCACACCAGTTAACGTGAGAAACGTCCAGTGCCCTTTTAAGACGTATCCCGTACTGGAAGTGTATAAAAAGAATACCACACATATCACATTTAAAGTGTACAACTTCAACTCCGTGATCTATAAAGCCAGAATTAATAAGAAAACTGATTACGTCATTAACAAAGACTCATCATTTGTCATCCCATTACCAGTCAACCCAGTTTTTGTGCAAATCATGTCAGTTCGATTAATGGTTGTTTCCTTCGGGTATATCACCGATAAGATCGGGAAGTATTATGGCAACACACAAACACCAATGGACTCCGATTGGGACAAGTGCCAATTTACACCACAAAATGTGGTGATATCTAACCACACGTCTAATGACAATTACTTCGAATGGATCACTTCAACAGTGCCTGGAAATACAGTAGACACAGTATATCCAGAAACTAAATTAATTAACGACTCAATCACTTTTAATGAGACGGGAAAAGCATATTTGTCCTTTAGATACCGAGTCCCCTTCAAAGAAGTGTTCTTTTTTTCAACACTGAAAATCGTTTCCTCGAGCTCTTCTCAATATTCGTTTGATGGAATCGATCTCTTTACTATGGGAAAGGACAACCCAAAGTCCGCAGTCGTTAGTACTTGTGATAAATTGGTTTTTAATAAATCAGTGACACAAGTTGGAAACACATATGAAGGGATATTCGAATTCTCTCTTAAGATTTCTCGTTGTACTTCTTTCTGTTTGTTCTATTACTGTATTATACTATACTTCTTAATAAAGTATTATTATTAAAATACTATATCATATTATTTACTTATTTAACTATATATTATAATAATAGTATTATAAATTGATGATAACGCCCAGTCAACACGTTTGTGATTGGCTTCACCGGAGAACCAAATGCTGTTCTTCATTTTTCATCAATCACATTTGATGAGACTTCTTACAAGAACGGCCTCAAACTCTGTCCGCTTGGTGCTTATCAATGCAAACAAGTTGTTTGCAACCCAACAGAATCAAGTCCGGATGATGGAGGTGTTGTTCAGTTTACAAAAGGGTGCACACCGTTCTGTGGTGTATGTCCAATGGGTCAAGTCTGTACGACGTCTGGTGTCTGTATAGTTCGCGAGAATAAAAACCAAAGGAGTTATTCCCCACAGTATACTGTGCTATTCTATCTTATGCTTATTACACTCTATATTCTTTAACTCAAACTCCACTTGTTAATTAATTGACTTTGTACCCAACACTTTGAACTCTTGTAGTAGTACCATATAATAACTTACTCGGTTTCTTGTTCCGCTAACAATTCATTGACTCTTGCGGACTTCTCATTGATGATTTCTTCTATTCTCTCCATCGACACGTTCGAATCAAACTCCGGGTGATTCGGCACATCCTCTAATATGGTGACGATCCGTTTCGATATATCATCAAACGACGGCCTCTCCTCCATTTTATGTCTCCAACAGTCTTCTACTAGACTCTTAAAGCAGTTTGGTATCGTGTCATCAAACACAAGTCGTTTCCCAGAGATCACAAACTCTTTGATTTCAAAAATACTTTTGCAGTCCTTGTATGGCTCTTTTGCATAGAAAAGTTCCCAACTTAAGACGGCAAATGAGAACACGTCGCCCGCATTTGTGTAGACATCCGTAAACGCTTCTGGTGCCAAATAAATGGGTGTCCCAAGTCCTCGGTCTTGTTCCGTCTTTTTCTTAGTAATTCGCGATGTCCCAAAATCAGTGATCTTCACCACACAACTTGAGTCGGCGTATAACGAGTTGACAAGTAAATTGTCCGGCTTCAAGTCTAAGTGCATAATCCGATTCTCATGTAAGAAGGCCATTCCTCTCGCACAGTCAAACATCATCTTGACTTTCAATTTATACGGCAAGACAATGTCCTCAGGCTTTTCATGTCTCACATAATCCCCTAATGACCCCAATTGGAAGAATTGAATGACCATTGAGATCTTCGGAATGTATGTCACAGACCCCATGTAATTCGCAATGAACGGATTCCGCAATTTACTCATCAAGTCGCACTCCCGAATAACATCCTTTTTAAGCTCTTTGGACTCGTCTTCAGTCAACATCTCCCACCGGAACATCTTCACAGCTACTGTAATACTCTTGTACTTCCCTACATACACAGTCCCCGATGCTCCCTGTGCTATGGGCTGCTCACGCAAATGCAACTCGTCCATATCAATATGTGTAGAACTCGCAGCAACCGTTTTGATCTCAAACTGGTGTCTATACTTCCTACTTACATCCTTCATGAGGGTCTCCATCTGCATTTTGTTTTCAGTGGTCCACTCCTCAAATGTTTTATTTCTCAGTAACTCCGCTATTTCCTTTAACGTCCGAAGATGTTTTGACCAGTATACCGTATAATGGATTTTCATGCCCATTATCTTCGTAGTACAGTGCAACGTCATGTAACTCGTTAAAGTCGTTTTCTAGCAATAAGAACTATACGTTCATAGTATTTTATACTATATTTATAATAAAAATGACAAACTTGTTTTGGCCTCAAAAAGATGACTTGGGGGTCAAAGTAAAAGACGAATTTGGGGTTATTTGGTGTGTGAATGATCACCATCATATATTTATTTCCCGAGTAATTTTTGACGTCGACCAACTCGTATCGCGTATCAAAGACATTAGTGGGGACATTCTCATTACCATAGTCTAAGTCCAATGGCTCGATGTTATATCGAGCTTCCTCACTTGGAGACATAGGTACACTTTGTGTAATGTCGTAGTAATACACTGGCTGCTGTTGCTTAAATATAGATTGGTCCAATCGAATGGAACGAGTCAATCGAACGACACCAATGACAATACCAACTAAGATGATGAATGCTATGATCACAAGTAATGTGACTAATAACCACACCCACCATGCTATCGGTTTACTTCGACAATTTCCAGGGGCATTTGGGTCAACTTCATACCCTGCAAGACATTGACAGTAATGATCACAATTGGTGGTGTTGTCACACTGCTCACCTTCATCAACTATCCCATCACCACACGTCAATTTACGACACAGGCGTTCTTCGGTGACTTCATACCCATCAGCACATATACAATTGGGAAGGCAATGACTTGTGTTATACGAGCACTGGACATTTGCATCGCCAAAGTTCTTATTGACGCAATTTTGACTGACACAATAGTGCGACTCTAATTTGCCACTCTCACAAGCACAATCAGCGTCACAATGTAACGTCCCAAAATAACACATTGCATCTCCAGAGACTACTCCATCATTCTTGTAAAACTTCTGATTGTAATAACACAGTTTCCTGCAGTCTTCCGCACCAAAAGAGTCGCTGCACACGCAGTCCCCGTTTCTTGTAGAACACATTCCATTCCCATTACTCTCATAGCAGTGCTTTGGACATATTGTAGAGAACGTCACATCCAAATCCGTGGAGTGGTCTGTAGTCCCAACAAATAACAGTCGTTTGTTCTCGCTTGGTTTCATTCGCACTCGGAGGCCTTGTTGGACTCGAGTTGAAGACCAAATTCCCCACCAATCGCCAACGTAATAATCAATACATTGGAGGATATTGGTCTCATTTAAAGTGTATTCCATCAAATACGCATATCTGTTTTGTTCGGAAGTATCAAGCAAAACACTGTACTCAGAGTTGGTTTCTATCGTGAAATAAAGCCCTTTCATTAACTTCGTTGGCGCACAGACTGGATAGATGTAAATGCCTTCCGACGAGAATTTGAAGGTGTGAGACAAAGTCTTCTTGGTGGTGTACAGCGCGTCTGTCTGTGCTTGTGAGAGGTCGAGAACACTCTCTCTGAAGTCATCGACAAAATCAATTTTGAAAGAGAACGAAAACGATGTTAAATCGTCGATGGAGATGAAGAAGAAATACGTTTCTTGAGACAATGGAAGGGTCAAGCTCCCTCCATTCATCACTATTTCTTGTCGCGCGTAGCAATTGAAAACGTCTGATGTTGTTGGGTCTGTATTAGTGACATCCACGTATATTCTCGGTGCATTCTCCGGTGTTTTTAAGATGATTTTATAATGACTTTGTGTGTTAACAACGCCGGCCAAATCGACTTTAATCCAAAACGATGGTCGATATTGGACTTGTTTTCTAATAGGGAAGGAGCACGGCCCAATTGAATATTTAGAGTTAGTTGTGAATGACAAATCTATATATCCAGAAGACAAGGAGTAAGTGATCATGTCTGAGTAGTCCTTTCGAATTGAATTGGTTTTATCGACACATATCCCATTTTCAAACACGACAAGAGTGTTATTGGCATCTATTGGTTTCAAAGGATTGAGTGAAACACAAGTGGAGCAGCTATTATCCTTTTGATCATATAACTCTGAACATGAACTACACGTCTCATTCGCAATACACTGTTTACAGCCTGTGCTTGTGCATTGTTGACTCCAAACACTTACAAGAAGTTGAAAAAGAACGAAATACATGATTTGATTTTTTCGTTCTTTTTGGTATTTGTTTGATTCAGTGCTTTTGAAGACTTGGCATGATTCAAAACGCATCGGTGGGAAACTATTGTATTATAATAAATAAAACCATTTTTGTTAATAATATCAATTTGATGGTAACTTCAAAATGAAAAATGGTTCAAATCTATTTTTAATATATTGGTCGATACAAGTGTTTTTATAGTTTGTATTAATAAAATATAATTAAATTACTAATACATTAAAAAAAATCATAATTGATAAAAAAGACTAATATAGTTTTGTATTATAATTTCTTAAATATTTTAATACTAATATTAATAAAACCGAAAAATTTTTTATGTTGTTTTTCAACGACAATTTCTATATTTACTAAAAAATAAAATATAATAGCATTTATAATAAAATGCTATCAATTTTAATATAATCGATATAATTTAAATTACTCAGTCTTTTGTTGCTCTTCAATCTTGTTTGAATCTGCCATATTCTTTTTTAATGTTTCGTTGTTGTCAAGTTGATAAAATACCCTCAATGTTATTCTAAATAAGAATAGTATTAATTACTATTTGAAATTAAACAAACCAAACAATAGAAACATAAGCCCCAATAGTAATCAGAAAGAGAACACCCAAATGAATTCTTACAAATTGAAACATGACAAAAAAGTAAGCCTCAAAAAGTAAAACCATTATGAAAGAAGCATGAACAGCAAGTCGCGACGACCCACTCACATTTCCATTTATAATGTCTTCAAACAAGTTGTTAACAAAATTCATTGAATTCTTTTTAAGTTATTCAAAGGGTTTCTTTTTTGAATTGAATATCTTAGAGAAATTCAATGACATTGAACAATATTTTTAAAGAAGATATTAATGCAACTCACCTCAAAAACAAAAGTTCTTAATATTTTAACTTTATAATTAAAAAATAATTAAACTATTGTTATAGTAACGACATAACCCACAAAAATCGTTTGAATTTTTATTGTTGTTTTTTCTTAATTTTGTTCTTTTTTGGCGGAATTAATATTTTAAAAAATAAAAGTTCAGTATCCGTTAAAATATCATTTTAATTTTCGTTGATTTGTTTTTTGATAATGCAAAAACAACCAATAAAATTATAATAAATCAACTATGACAAATAGTACATTTCTTTTGTCCTATCAAAAAACTTGTCTGTTTATTCTTTTCGCGTGAAAATTCCAGTAGACCAAAAACTATATAAATCCATAAAAAATTATAAATGAATAATAATCAAACCAAACGAAGAACCACGTATTTTCGTTTGGGGTTGAATTGCAGATCTTTGATTAGCATACGAAGGGCAAAAAATGTAACTGGTAAAAACGTTTACAAATTCAACAATCAAACTCATTGATATAATAAATATAATGTTCAAAAAACAAGGAAAGAACATCGAAAAATTTGAAACTTTATGAGATCCGATGTAGCTATAAAACGAGATGAACTTGGAAGGTTTATAGATTATGGTCTTCTTTACAGTACACTATAGTACACCATTTGGTCAAGCCGTCTGCCTCGAGGTGGAAGGTGAAAAAGAGTTGTTCAAATTGAAATATCAGGACAACAATACATGGACTGGAGAGTTCACGTTCACACAGACTGGATTGATCCATTATCAATATTTAGTGGTCAAAGAAGATGACGTGAAGGTTGTCTACAGAACTGAAGGAAACAAAGAGCACTACACACATACCCTTGATTTGGCTGCTCTTCCTTTATTCAAAAAGGTTGAAGTCAATGATTTGTTCCTCTCAGGCTCTGGTGCTGAAGACTCGTTCTTGAACACTTCTTTCTTCAGAAAGGTCATCTATGGAAAACGCACAGACGAAAAGATGGAAATCAAAAAGATTGGAGAAACCACTTTGTTGCTCAGAATTAGATGCACCTGCGTCCCAGAAGGACAGTGTGTCTTTGTTGGTGGTGCTATTGAGGCTCTTGGAAAATGGAACGTTCACGGTGCTGTGAAGATGACTCCCACCCATGCCCCATATTATGAGGCACTTGTTGATATCACAAAAGAAACCAAACCATTTGAATACAAGTTGTTCATAGCTGATACTCACACAAGAGCAAACGCAAGATGGGAAGAAAGAGGGAATAGAGTCTATTATGTTCCACAACTTAAAGAAGACGAAGTCAAAGAAAAAGACGTTCTTATTATCAAAGAAGATGACGACTTGGCCGGTCTTTACTATAGAGGTGTTGGTGTTGTTACTCCAATTTTCTCATTGAGAACAAAGGCGTCATGTGGATGTGGTGAGTTCTTGGATGTCATCAAGTTGGTTGATTGGTGTAAGAAGACTGGAATCTCTTTGATCCAAACCCTCCCCGTCAACGACACCACCGTTTACTTCACATGGAGAGATACTTATCCATACAATCCAAACTCAGTTCAAGCATTCCACTTGTTGTATTTGAGACTCTCTGCTATTACTGAAGACAAAGAAATCTTGGCTGAAATTGCTCAACAGTCCGAAAGACTGAACAAATTGGCACAAATTGACTACGAAGAAGTCTTGAGAGTTAAGGAAGAAATCTCTAGAAAGGTCTTTGCTAAGGTTGGAACAACACAGAAAGGCTTCGATGAGTTCAAGAACACCGCCAAAACGTGGTTGATCCCGTATTGTGTCTACAGAACTTTGGTTAAATCCGTCGACACCCCACTCCCCCCAACTCCAAAAGACTTCGCCGAAGTCGAAAAGATGTACGAAGAACACAAAGAAGAGTGCGATTACTATGCCTTTGTCCAATACAACTTGCACCTCCAATTAAAAGAAGCTTCTGAGTATGCCACCAACAACAAAGTCGCTTTGAAGGGTGACTTGCCAATTGGAGTTTCCAAAAGATCGGTCGAATGCTGGATGCACCCAGACTTGTTCCATCTTGACAAATCAACTGGTGCGCCACCCGACTATTTCTCTGCTGGTGAAGGACAGAACTGGGGATTCCCAACTTACAACTGGGAAAATATGGCTAAAGACGATTACGCGTGGTGGAAGGGAAGACTCTCACAAATGGCGCAGTACTTCAGTGCATATAGAATCGACCACATCTTAGGGTTCTTCAGAATTTGGAGTATTCCAGCGGGACACCGAACTGGGTTGTTGGGAAGATTTAACCCGGACTGGCCAATTTCCAGACAAGAGTTGGAAGGGTATGGCATCTACGATACCGACCGATTGAGCTATCCATACATCAGAGACCACACATTGAATGCGCTCTTTGGATCCGAAAGAGACTTTGTTGTTTCAAAGTTCTTAGTAGACAATTACAACGGCACATATAACTTGAAACCAGAGTACCAGACCGAAGGAGCTATTCTTGAGAAGACCGGCCTCTGCCCAGAGATGAGAGATTCTGACAAGAAGATAGTCACTGGCCTTAAGTTGTTGTTACAGAACGTCTGCTTACTTCGCGACGAGAACAATTCGAACTACTTCTACCCAAGAATTGACATGCAAAAGAGTTACTCGAGCTTCAACGAATTGCCATTTGAAGAACAAGAGAACTTGAGAAAGTTGTATCGCCAATACTTCTACGAAAGACATGAAGGACTTTGGGAAGAAACTGCTCGAAGAAGACTTCCCGCTATGGCGAGAGCGTCGAACATGTTAGTTTGTGGCGAAGATCTTGGGATGGTCCCTGACTGTGTTGTGCGAGTGATGAACGACATGAAAATTGCGTGCTTGAGAATCCAACGATTGACTGATACCCCGGAGAAGAAGTTCTATCACCCCGCGGACTATCAATACTTGACTGTTTCAGCCCCATCGGGTCATGATATGTCTACTATTAGAGGGTGGTGGGAAGAAGATAGAGACAAGACTCAATACTTCTGGAACCACTTGTTGGGAAGAAGTGGCGCGGCACCATTCTCATGCCCCCCCGATGTCGTTAAAGTCATCTTTGATATGCATTTGTACGCCCCAGCTATGTTGGCGTGCTTCCCGATGCAAGACGTCTTGTCACTGAAAGCTAAATACATCGAAGGAAGAGATCCTAAACAAGAACAAATTAATGACCCATCAAATCCAATCCATTATTGGAGATATAGATGCCACGTTGACTTGGACGATATATTGTCGGACAACGAGTTGAATAACTTGCTTTCTGCGTCTGTCTATGGATCGGGAAGACATATGTTCTAACTGGAGGGTGAAATTTTTGATTTTCTTTTGAGTTTTTTAAATATGATTGTCCAAGATCGATAAAATGAAAAGTGAGACGGAATGAAGGAATAGTTGAGAGCGGAATAAGTGGAAAACACTCAAATGTTTACACACTCAAAAAAACGACCGTTGTTCCCGATCAAAAACAAAATAAACACCGAGGTCGTGACGAAAAAGAATGTTGAAGAAACAAAGGAATTCAATTTCAATTTTGAAAGCTCGGAAGAGGCTGAGGTCGACGATAAATGGTTTGACAAGATGACAATAGACAGCGGAGAAGTTGCACTCAAAAACACTTCGCTCGCGGCTATGGACTTTTCAGATGAGGAGCTGTTGTTTGACACAAAGCAAAATTCTGAGATAGTCAAAGAACCTCACAAGACTTTACCTAAAATTAGTATTGAAAAGGGAAGTGGTGAGAATGGTGTAAAAGTTGTTATGGATTCTCAGAATGGAAAAGAAGAGAAGATAGTTGTTGGGCCAAATAAAGTTGGTGTGGAAAATGGGGAATTCCCAATTCAAAAATCACACAGAGATGAAAAAAATATCGCCATTCCAAAGGCCGAACCACAAAAGAATGGAATTGTGCCAGAAATCGTTCAGAAAGCCTCACTCAAGAGCCCCGCACTACCAGAGAAAGGGGTACAACAGATTACCGAAAAGGAAAAACTACAACCTACTTTACAGAAAACACCAGAAAAAGTGACAACAACACTTCAGAATACACCCGTTGCAACAGTAACAAAAACCACCCAACAAACACAAAACACAGTAAAACGCATTTCTCTTCAGACAAAGCCAATGTTTAAAAAGCCACACCTTTCGATTAAACGATTCAAGTTTTCTGCGCCGACTGCAAAAACGAAGTTGATGGACAAAATAGGAAAGATGAAAAGGGACATCAACTTAGACATCAAAAGCATTTGTTCGCAGACAAGCAACGAAATGAAAATGGAAGATCAGAAAATTGAAGTTGCAGTTGAAGGACAAGCCCAGCAAGGAGTTGAGAAAATAAACGAAAAAATGAATGAACTCAATGTGATACAACAACCAAACACGGTTAATTTTGGTAAAACCAAAAACGTTCAAGAAAAAGAAACATCGCCACAACTTGAAGCCGAAGAAAACACAGAAAGGAATGAAAAAATGGTTACCACTACGAAAGAACAAGAAACTGAAAAAAAACAGAAAGTCGTCGAAAAAACGTATGATAGGAAAGATGCAAAAATTGACAATTTTTCGGAGGAAGAACGACAGTTGATAAAAAAGACAAAGAAACCAATTGAAAGCATCGAAGAGGTGCGTCCACAATTGAAGCGTGTTATCCAATTAAAGGAAGATCCGTCCCAAAAGTTCGAAATCAAGAAAATAGAAATTCACAATATTTTTGACGATGTTATGGAACCAACAGAGGCACTTAAACGGATCCACACAGCAGCACAGATGGTAAACTTTCTTCCAATCAATAAAGAAATGCAGGCGGAAAAGTTGTTTCTCGTTCCAAACCCAATTCCAGTTCCTTTTCCACAGAACAACGAAGAAACGCAAATTGCTCTTTCCATTTGCGACGAATTTTTGTATAAAACAGAAGAAAGCCTTGAAGTGTTTCTGCCCGCTCTCAACAAACAAGCCAATTGTCTTCTCGAGCAACTCAAAGCTTTCAAAAAAGAGAAGGTAGACATCGAAGCAACAGTGCTAAAGAATGACAAAAAAATCCGAGACCTTCTCGAGAACGTTCAGAGGAACCTTCTATAGTTATTTACTTTTTTATTGTTTAGTTCCATAAGTGAGATAGTTGTTTGGTAAATGTTTTCTTATTTAGTAACGTCAAATTCCTCAAACATCACTCTACAAGAACTTGAAAAAGGTCGTTCAAAATAATATGGAAGACGGAGTAGTCATCGACAATGGATCTTCGCTGATACGTGTTGGTATTGCAGGAGATGATACGTCCAAGTGTATTGTTTTAAGCGGTGTTTATTTACACGATGGAAAAGAAAAGATATATTCATCATTCATGACTGTTCCCGACAATGCAGTTGTAGCAAAAGTACCGATCACCCGTGGGGTCATTACTAATTATGACGTTATAGAGAAATTGTGGACGTATGCCATAGAGACTGAGATTGACGCCGTTATTCCCGAAAAAAACTTTCTGCTAACAGAGAGCGCAACTGCGCCAATTGTCCAACGCAAAAAGTCAGCTGAACTATTTTTAGAGAAATTAAACGCTAAAGGAGTTGAATTTGAGAACAGCCTTTATCTCTCTCTTTTATCAAGTGGGAGAACTACTGGTTGTGTTGTTGAGTCTGGAGATGGTGTGACTCATGTTGGTGGCTATTCTGATTGGACACAAATCAATGAAGTTGGCAGATGTGAGTATGGAGGAAGTGATGTGACAAAGTACATCAGTGGAGTCTTGAGAAGTCAATGTGGGGTATCCGAGTCTGTTGCAAATTACAATGCGAACCGTGTGAAAACCAGTTTATGTAAAATTGCTCTTCCAGATTTCAGTGCTATTGCCGAAATGAATAAAACTTCAGAAGATCCGAAATACACATTACCAGATGGAAGGCAAATATCCATAGGAATAGAAAGATATATTGCATGTGAGTCTCTCTTCAACCCCGAACTTATTGGAATACATGAAATTGGGATACACGAATTAGTCGTAAATTATTTGAATAAATTGGATAAAGATATCCAGCAAACCATGTTATTGGAAATGGTTCTTACTGGTGGGAACACGCTATTTGATAATTTATATGACCGGTTGGACACAGAAATATCGAAGCGAGTCACTGCTAAACATGGTATGCATAGAGTCATCGCTCCACCAGAAAGAATCATGTCGACTTGGATAGGGGGATCAATACTTATGTCATTATCTACCAACGCTTCTCTTATAGTTACAAAGAAGATGTACGATGAGAAGGGTGCTGACATTCTTAGACTTCAACAACCATCGAACAACAATAATTTTTTTAAGAATGGTTATTAATTCTTTTACTATTTTATATTTAGAATATAATATATAGTTGATTATAGTTTCTGTGTATTATACTATAGGTATAACAATAGAATAGACCAATCTCCTTGAAAAGTCATATAGAAATAGAATACATAGAAAGTGAATGCTCCAGCTATATAAAGGTGAACTGTTTACAACTAAGAAGTAATGAATATCCTCTTTGTGATATTTTGTTCAGTTGAAGTCACTTCAGTGATACTTGGAGATAGCTGCAATCAATCCTCCAATTGTAGTGACTTACTCTTAGTCTCTGGGAAGATGTGTGGAGTGACATCTCCGTCTTCCTTTACGATTAAAGGGAAACCGAAGAAATGTCAATTAGATTCTTCTTTCTGTGTAGATAAATGTGGGTTACAATATAACGGCTGTTCCTATGAATTTTGTCAAGACTGTCCACCGACATGTTTGGGGGCGACTGTGTGTTCTGAAGTCGAGTGTGGGGTGAAGTTTGATAATTGCTACGAGTATTATTGTGGGACGTGTTCTGGAGATAAAGCGTGTCACAATAACACATGTCAAGACACAAAATGTGGGGATGGTGTTTGTGAAGGGAAAGAGAGTTGTAGCACATGCCCTGGGGATTGTGGGATATGTAATTTGTATCAATGCAATGAAGACAACTGCAAGCTTCCCAACTGTCGATGTGCTACTGAAAATACTCCAAATAACATGGATCCAAAGGGATTACCTCAATTCATATTACTCACTATCGATGATGCGATTTTCGAGACACATTATACCCTTGCATATCGGCCATTATTGACTGCAAGTATCAAAGACTCTCGTGGGAGAACACCGACAATTACATTTTACAATAACAATGCTTACACTTTATATAACAGAGGATCTCATGTGATGAATTTGGGTGCCGAAATAGCATCGCACACATTCACACACACGTCATATTATGGTACGAACTTTTCAACATGGTTTAATGAATATTCATCATCTAAAAGATTCTTTAAAGCACTTGCTGAAGTCGAAGTGCGGGGAGTTCGTAGTCCCAAACTTGAGTGGAATGAGGACGAGTTCACTGTATTAAAATTATTGAATTTTAGATATGACGCCAGTCTTATCGAATCAGTCTATGGAAACACCTTTAAAAAGCTTATTTGGCCATTCACATTAGATTATGGGTGCCCACAAATTAATGACGCAAATATGAAGGGGATGTTAAACAAACGATTTAAAGGGTTGTGGGAGATCCCGTTGAGTGATTGGGTTGACGAATTTGGCGAAGGAATTGATTCAATGGACTACAAATTAGATGGCGACTTGTTATACAAATATTTGGTGTACAATTTCGAGAGACATTACAACACCACCAAAAGTCCATTTGGTATTTATTTACATGGGCCTTGGTTCACTCCATCTCGAGTAACTGTTCTTCTTAAATTTTTGCAAGAAGTCATGGAAAAGTACACAGACGTCTTCTTCGGAACATCATCGGACATCATTGACTACATGACCAACCCAATCACTTCTTTTGAATATCGAAAGAAACCAGTGAAGAAGGTTGAGGACATCGAGTGTCCATTTGGAACACAGAAACACAGATGTGAGTTCTCTGATATGACATTTGATACATGCTACATATGTACACAAGAACGCACTCTCATGCAAAATTTGGTTGTTCGAGAATAATTTAATAAGTAACTCGTTCGAATTAGTAATTCTTTTATTCTATTTTTTTATTAATAAGAACCCATTTCTTTTTAGGTGGCTTTTGAAACTATATATTATAATTAAATTTACTAGAGTACTACTTTCTTAAAGAAGATCGAACTGCTTCTTCTTGTAAGTAAGTCGTGAACTTAAAAAGAGAGAACATGGGAAAGGGTGACGACGAAGTCTTTGGTTTGTTGAATTAACAAATTTTCTATTTTAATTATACAATTATTGTATAACACATTCAATAATTATTAATGATTTTAATGGAAGACTTAGACGAAGTTAATAACACATAGAATACTCTTTAGAAATGAAAATCGGTGCTATGATGATCTTTGGCGCAGTCTTTATAGTTGGATTGATTTTATTAATCGTATACATCAAGCTCTATAAGCCATACCATTCTCCCAAGCGCTTCACTTAATTCCCACAAAAAATAAATCAAACTGAATCATTCAATTCTAGTTGTTTTGTTTAGTCTTCTTTTTGTTTCTCTTTTTCTTCCTGTTCTTCTCCTTCTTCATTATTTTCATTCTCCTCTTCTGATGAACTTTCCTCTTCTTCATCGACGGGGTCATGATATTCAAACACCTTAGCCATTTCTCCTCTGATGAGGGTATATATTGTCGTGCCAATCAGAAGGGCGGGAACTAAATATAATAAAGCTGGCTATTCATTATTACTTCCTTCCAAAGATATCAATCAAAGTGAACAAACTTGCCCATGTTTAAACACATGCATCACTACAAATGTCGTCAAAAGTCCAATGTAATATGATAATATCGATACATGGAAATACTTCGACCCATTATTAAAGGCAGTGTCAATGCGTTTCATCAGCGCAATATATAACCCCGGTATCGCAACATCGCCAAGTCCAAGTAATGACACTTTGTCGGTGAAAATGAAATGCCCATCCTTCGGAAATATAAATTTGATGGGGCCATCGACGTTCGTGGCAACAGTCAACATCACCTCACTCCCAAACACCCAGAAGATGTCGTAGACAAACAACGCAATTAACATGATCGACGCGATCTTGAACGACGGCGTAGTGATTTCTCCGATCGCCACAATAGTCAAACAGAACGCGAGGAAGTTATTGAAGGTCCAATGCTTTGTGACTGCCCAGAGTAATGAGAAGACAAAGCCAACGGCCATTCCTAAGATCTCCGATTTCGACGTTTCGAATTTGTAATTGATGATTGGAATCGTTATGCCGAATTTCTCCGGCGACGCGTACTTCTGGAAGATGAATTGGAAGAGTTCGGATACACCAACAGACCCAATGAACATGAAGTAACACGTCAAAAGATATTGCAGGTAATCCGCTGAGATAAATTTGATGATAACATACAGCCCAAGCAACACTAAGCTGCTGATCACTGTCATCGACGCTACGTTTTTCATATTCATCGACTCGGTCGTTTTCTCCATCACCATTTTCTCGGAACGGCGAGCTCCAAGTACTAACGGAAAGAATGGAGCAATGTACAACCCAACACTCGATATGAGCTCGTAGAAGTTCGGCATTTGACTCTTTCTAGTTCCAGTTCTTCCCTATTTTTAATTGTCTTCTTTGGTATTTGGACGTCGGGTGATAGATTTATATACCCCTCAGTCGTCGGGATATATATCAAAATAGTTTTCTTATAGTCAGTTATTCAATAATTGTTATTATAGTTATAAAACTATAATATATAATACATTTTTTCTATTTCTCAAATATTGGAAAAGAAATAGTTGTATATTACTATAATGTATGAATAATATAATATGGTTCAAATAATTTTTTTAAAAAAAAAGTGAATGGTAATTAAAGTTAGTTATTAACTAAATAATATCATTTCTAATAAAACTAAAAAAGCATTAATTACAAAATAAAAAAGAGAGTTAATATTTTTAATTTTTATATTGTATTTTTTTAGTAAATATTATAAAAACAATCTTAATTAATAATAAAAAAATAAAAAGTAAAATATTAATAAATATAACTATAATTCACCAATCCAATTTAATATAAAAAAATGATTTATGAAACTAGTTGTTCAATTAAAATTTTATTTGTGAATTGCTACACTCAAATAACATTCAAATAATAAAATGCATTGTATTAATCCTTATCAGCTTTAATGACAGCACCAAGCATAACACTAGCGCCAGCTGTGCAATCCTCTGGTGTGGAATATTCCTCTTCGCAGTGTGAGAGTCCCTTTCTCGATCTGACAAAGACCATTGTAGTTGGGATTCTATAAGCACAGAATTGTGCATCATGTCCGGCACCAGAATGAATGAATTCGTAATCGACCTTAGCATCATCAGCAGACTCTTTCACATACTCAACAAGCTTCTTGTTGAAGTAAACGGTGTCTCTATTCCACGCTTTCTCCACTACACACTTACATCCATTGCCCCAAGTCTTTTCAGCAACACTCTTCACAACAACTAAGACTTTCTCGAGTTCCTTTGGATCGACGTGTCTCACATCAATTGAGAATTCGAAATACTTTGGTACGCACGTGTGGACATTTGGTTGGCAAGAAACTTCACCGGTGGTATACACCAACCCCGGGATATTCAATTTATCAATTTCAGTATGGAGATACACAAGGGCCTCAGCAGCTGCAAAGAACGCATCGTGTCTTTGATTCATCGGGAACGTTCCTGCGTGGACCGTTTGTCCGAAGAATTTAATCGCGTAGTTAAACATCCCCAGTACGCAGTCGACGACTCCGATTTGTTTCTTATGGTTCTCCAAAATGGGTCCCTGTTCAATATGTGTTTCGAACATATACAAATACTTTTCGGGACACAGTCGATTCTTTTTCTCTCCTTTAAATTCGCTCTTCGCTAACATTTCACCAAAAGTGGTCGTGTGGTCGACTACAGAAGCACTTTTCATCATATCTTCCTCAACAAACCCGCTTCGAATATTCTCCGGCAAGTTATCGTAACACACTATTCCTGAACACATCATAGCTGGCATATATAACGACCCTTCTTCATTGGTCCATATCATAGCAGTCAATGGGTGTTTGTGTGATATCTTATTGGCATGGACTGTCTCTAAGACTTCCATCGCACTCATCACGCCCAAAATCCCATCGTAATTCCCTCCGTTCTTAACGGAGTCACAGTGCGAACCCATCACTATTCTCTTCGCAGTAGAGTCTGTCCCTGGAAGGGTCGCGTAGATGTTAGCTACGTCATCGTACTCAATTTGGGCACCAATCGCTGTCATACGACGGAGAAACTCTTTCCTGGCTAAGGTGTCTTCTTCAGACATGGTATATCGAGTAATTCCTCCATGGCCCGCGTCGCCAAACTTGGAGAATGTGGCGATCTTGTCGGTCATTCTTTCTAAGCTGCATTGATGTGCCATGTCGTTCTGCTTATTGAGTTGAGATTAGTCCCCTTTTATATCGTTTTCGTTCAGTCCAATCGGTAGACCAAAATTTAACGAATTTTATTAATTAACATGTATTTGTATCGAACAAACAGTTTTTTTGGTGTTCATTCGAATAACTCGTTAATTTTTATTCGAATTTATGTGTTATAATGTAAATAATTAAACTCGTTAATTTTTATGGTTTTATTTAATAAATATAGTGTTAATTAACAACAATCAAAGAAATGAATTGTTTTTGAGAAATATAAGAACACCATTTTGATATTCTCTCAATTTCTTTAGTCTTCGAAACTAACGTGGTGACTTGGTGTCACTTATTAATACCATCAATTATTTAATATATAATATAGTTTAAATTTACTATTTCCTTACCCATTTTTATTTATACAAATATCAGACAATCTATTTATAGTATAATTTATAAGATAAATAGTTAAACCATAACGGACAAACTACAAAACAATAAAATAACAAGACCGTTGAAAAGAGATTGAAAGTCTTACTGAAGTAATGTCACTTTCTTTTCACACTTCTCCTCACTTTTGTTTCGCGGGGTGAGTATCTTCTCACTCGTTTCACCCTTGTCAATCTTCTCACTTCTCTCATATCTCTCATTTCGTTCCAGATTTTTAATCTCTGCTCTCAGATCTATTTTATTCCTCAATACGTGCCTCTCATTGGTGCTGTATTCATTTTTCTCTTCCTTCACACCACTTTCTTTTCCGTGCGTCTCACTCATTCTTTTTTCCTTTTCTGTTTTTTCCTTCAAACTCCGCAGTTCTTTTGCGCCACAAAATCTCAAGATTTTTCGTTCCACCCCATCATCTCGAGATTTTTTTGGTTTCATTTTGTAGCACTCCGATCTATCAACTTTAATTGGTGCGAGGACTTCCTGTATTGGTGGATTATGTTCGACTGGTTTTGGCAGTGATTTCTCTGAAATCATCATCTCCTGGATCTTCACGATGTCTTCTTGACTTATAGGAGGCTTCGATGGGACCTTTGGGAGTCCCAGTCTTGGGTGTTGTGGCTCCGGTTCGGCTTTCGGGAGTTTTCGTTGTGGGACCAATGCGCAGTCTTCTAACAAGAGTTGATTCTCTTGCTCGAGACGCGTTAATTTACTCTTTGCCATTGACCCTTCTATTGAAGACTGAATACGGAGACTTTTCTCGTTCTCGACTTCTCGACATTTCAGGTCGAGCTTCTGCCGTAATTCCTCAAGTTGCTTCTCATAGAAAACTTCCTTCTGCTTCATTTTTTGTGCGTATGAAAAAGTCGCCTCGTCAAGACCCTTTTTGAACGTCGTCACTTCGGTTTGCAAGACAGTGATTTCCTTCTTAAGGTCACCATTGGTCCGTTGCATGAATTCGAGTTTTTGATCGGCAAGGCGGAGTGCGACATATTCGTCAAATGGAATTGTAATTGTTGTGCCTTGCTGTGGTGGTATAGGAGGATTCATTATTGACTTGGTTTGATCTTGGTTGATGCAGGTCATGAGAATGGCTTTTTTACTATTAGAGTTAGAACATAGCAAAGTAAATTTATCATTTTACACTATAGTTTGGTATAGTTGTTTTAATTACCATTAAATAGGGAAAAGGGTCTGGAAGATTCTTTTTGAAAAGTTATTTTTGGAATAGTTTCAAATATGGTTTTGGTTGATATTTGACTAGCTCTTTTTTTAAACAGAAAAGACAAGAGAGTAGTTTCAATTAAACTAGAGTATTAGTTCAAAACCCTTCCTATTTCTGGAAAATAAAAAGTAAAATTATAATTATTTTTTATTATTGAATTTTGATAATGTGTTTATAATAATATTATAGTATTTAGTAAATTTATTTTGATCAATCTAAATGAATAATCTAAAAATAATTACCTGAAAAGTGGGTATTTTTTAATATTAATTATATAATACTATAAATACTATAAAAATATTATAATATTTATAGTAAAATAAAGTAAATTATTTTATATTTTAATTAAAAATAGTTAATAATTAAAACAAGTTAAATTATATTATTAATTTGTTCAACTATTTATACATGTAATTTTTTACAATTCAAATCTTTTAAGTTATTACTTTATAGTTTAAAAAATAATTAACTAATAGATATATTCTTACTATTGAAATCACAACAAACTACTAAAACAATTTGAAAATAAAATTATAATCCAACTATTGTTTTATTGAGAAAAAGATTTTTAAATCGTTTCTGCTTTGGAAAGACGAAAGGTAACAGTCAGAGTTGAATCATCAAAATCATTTTTAAAATCAAAACCCTTTCAAACTGAGATGTGAAATGGATGATACGCCCGACATATACACCTCTCCAAAAATTATTACCGAAGCGCAAGAAACGCCCTCCGCTCCTCATTCCGCAGTAGATTTAAATACTCCACCTATTAAAATTAAAGCTCTTGGAACAGTTAAATTGACTGGACTACTCTTTATCGCAGTAGTTGGTGGAGCGTATGGAGCAGAACCAATGGTCCAGTCAGCAGGTCCACTGGTTTCGACTATAATAATGATCACTTGTTCTCTCTTGGTGATGTTACCAATCTGTTTGATAACAGCGGAGTTATCAGCGGCTGTTCCAGGCTGTGGTGGGATGGTAGATTGGGTCACTTGTGCCACAACACCTTTTGCCAATTTTTTCACGATGTTTGCGACTATTATATCGCTCATCGGAGCAACCATAGACAACGCTGTGTACCCAACACTCTTCATTGGGTACTTGACTGAAAAGGTTCCCGAGCTTCAGTGGTGGGCGACATTACTCATTAAATTTGCAGTGACTTCTGTCGCAACGTTCTTGAATATCATTGGCGTCGACATCATTGGCAAAATTAGTGTGTTGTTTACAATATGTGTGTTATTCCCATTTGTGGTGTTTGTCTGCTTTGGTGTGTTCAGTCCTGATGCGCACTGGAGCAACTTAATTGACACTTTACCATTCAAAGAGATGAATTGGTCACTGTTGATATCGGTGTTGTTTTGGAATATCAATGGAGTGGATGGGTGTGGCAACATATCTGAAGAAGTGAAAGAGCCCAAGAGGACTATTCCAAGGTCTATGACGTTATTAGTTATTATGACAGTGATGACATATATTATTCCATGTATGGTAGGGACGATTCTAGATGACAATTGGAGTCAGTGGGTAGAAGGATCTTTTGTATCGTTGTGTGGGAAGATATCACCCGAGTGGGTAGCGAAGACTTTACCGTGGTTAATGTTTTTGGGAGGGCTTGTCAGTTCGTTGGGGTATTTATTAACACTTTTGTGTACGGCTTCGAGACTTTTTCAAGGGTTCATCGACTTGGACTTCCACCCGTTTCTCACGAAGACACTTGGGCATGTCAATAAACGATTTAATACCCCCGACGTAGCTATTATTCTGCAAGGCGTCTTAATTTTCATCTTATCAGCTTCAATGGATTTTGATGAGTTGGTTGGTGTTGACTCGGCGTTTTATGCGATTCGTGTGCTGTTCATATGTGTGTCGTACGTCATATTACGTTTCAGATACCCCACGATGAACAGACCATATATGTTTGGCTCCAATTTAGTGATGGCGATGGTCTTTGCAACACCTCCTATTGTGTTTTGTATTTGTTGCTGCATATTAGGGTTATTGTCTTCGACCGTGACCATCATCTTGGGTGGAGTCTTGTTGAATGTGGTGATGATTGCTTCAATTTTCTTCTATTGGTTCTTCCCACACGAATTCAAATTACATGACGCTGTACAAGGGCTCTTTGCAAACTTTGGAGAGGAAGAAGATGTGATTGACAAGATAAAGAGAGAGAACAAGATGAAAGAAGGCACTATAGCTATTGAAAATCAGAACGAACCGAACATTGGGTATTCAATGAGTACAGAAAGTGGGTCGAGTGAGACTTCAAGTAATGCTGGCAGTTTGAAAGAGGCGATTATCACCCCATAAATGAGTTGAACTGATTTATTGATTTCATCGATATATTGTTTTTGAGTCATGTCTTTGGACAATTCTTGTCGTTTTTCAGCGACTTAATTTAGCATCTTTCCTCTTTGAAAGATTTTGTTGAAAAATAGTAAAAGAATAATACCATTTTTGATGGATTTTTCTCGCCAAAAAGGCACAACAAAAAGTTGTTTGTTATTATAAAATAAACCATTTAAATACTATTATACAACGGCATACAAATTGCCATTCAAAACAGAAGCTATAAATAAACTATAAAAAGAATCATAGAATTAAGATAGAAAAGAAGCCACAAAAGGATAGAAGTCCCATTGAATAAGAGGAGTTATATGAACGAAAAAGTGGGTTTTCTGGTTTGAACTAGAAAACGGTTATGGATTTGAGATTTGTTCAAACAAACTCGAAATCAACTTGGACGGAGGATGTCTGAAGACTCATATGAAGATTCATACGAGGCTGGGTACGAAACAGACTCGGGGGATGATGACCAAGTCCAATTGAAACCGATCACTCGTGAAGTTTCAGGGAAGAAAGTGACTGAGCGTGTCTCTCCTGCATTTTCATTTGCATTAAGCGCGGGGAGACAAGACGTCTTAAGTGACAAATTACTACCTCCGTACTTATCCGTCCACGACTCTAAATTGAATTTTAAGTCTCAAATTGATGGATCGACTGCTTTACATATTGCTGCAGAACAAGGGAAATCCAATTTAGTGAATCAATTGCTGAAGGCAGGGATCACTAAGAATTCTAAAGACTCCAATGGGAACACCGCGTTACTTCGTGGGGTGATAGCTGGTCGAACGAATGCGTGTGTATACTTAGCTAGGAAAGTCAAGAAGAGTGGGATTGATATTCAGAATGATTTGGGAGACTCTCCCATTTATGTTGCGTGTCGGAGAAATAACACTAAACTCCTTGAGAAACTGGTGAAGTACGGAGGAAATGTTAACGCACATAATAATAAAGGTATTACCCCTTTAATGGTCGCTTGCTTCTACCTGAATATAGAAAACATGGACATCTTGATCAAAGCTGGCGCATCTTTAGATGCTTGTTTGTTCTTCTTCAATAGTAAATATATTACTAATGAATACTAAACTATTCACTAGTAATATATTTACTATTCGTTATAGTATCTAGTGATGATCGAATAACAAGTAGATGACGGAGACCACTCGAACTGTTTGCATTATATGGCGAAGGCAAAGGGCCTTGCAAAGGTCACGAAATTTGGACCATTTTTCGACTATTTTCGGAAGAGTGTGAAATTAGCGGAGAGTGCTGATGTCAGTGGGAACCAACCGTTGTACTATGCGTTACAAAGTAAGTGTGAACCCCTTGTCAATTTCTTGTTGAATGTGACGTCATTAAAAGATGTTCGGTTGGTCTATAATGAGACGAGTAGTCCTCTTCCTGTCGAGGCTGAACAAACAGAAGTGAAAGTAGTCGAAATAGATAAGAAGACGGATGAGTATGGATATGTCCAAGAAACGATTGAGGCGCCACAAGTGCCTGAAGTCGTGAAAAAGATTAATGTGGAAGACAAAGAAAAGAAGTGGACGGTCATGTTAGATGAATGGGTCAAGACGAGTAAAACGCCGCGATATCTCTTTCGAAGAGTATATAAGTTCATTCCGATCAATCAGAGGAAAAGGTATTGGGAAATTGAACTGAAGGTCGAAAGCAGCGAAACGGAGTCGCCGGGATATTTCAATCGGATTGTCGAGAATCAGGAGAGAGGACATGACGATGACCAAATCCATAAAGATGTCATTCGAGCACATCAAAATAACGTCCACTTCATGACGAAGTTTGCGGATGGGCAAAGAACATTATTTAGAGTGTTACGGGCTTGGTCGATGCAAGATAAGGAAGTTGGATATGTTCAAGGATTCTCTGATTTGTGTGGGTTCTTAATACTTGTGATGCAAAAAGAGGAGGACGTGTATTGGGGGTTTAATACTATAATGAACGATCCAAAGTATAATTTGCGACAAATGTGTTTGCCCGATTTTGTAGGGATAAAGAAGTGCGCATTTGTTTCCATGAAAGTCATGAAAAAATATCACTCAAAGATTTTTTATCATTTAAAAGAGATTGATTATGATTTTGAAAATTGGCAAACGTTCATGTTCGAATATTTCATGTTATGGTTCTGCCGAAAATTCCCAGTGGAGTTGGAAGTTAGAGTACTCGATATCATCTTTTTGGAGGGATGGGAAATCGTTTTTTCTTTTTTTAGTACCATTTTACATTTCTCAAAAGGTTTGTTATAGTATAATATAGTATAATATAGTATAATATAGTATAAATATAAATATATGAAATATAGTATTATATAGAAGATATATAGTATAATTATAGTTGATATGAACTAATTTCTAGAAGCTATTATGAAACTAGACAACCCAGACTTTGTTAATAAGGGATTAGCAGAACCAATGGAACTGATGGGAAAGAATTACGACGAGAGAAGGTTCTTTGAGTTTTTGAAAAAGGGTCGAATCACGCCAAAGGAGATTAGAAAGTGGTTTGCGATTGCTTCGCCGAAATGAACTTGAAATGTATTTTTGAGATGTGTGAGAATTGAAATGATGTTAGTCGATTTTAGTTTTGAGCGAACAAAAAAAACCAAAACGCAAAAATAAAACAATAAAAAAGTTTGGAAGAGAGAAGGCTCACAATTTTTGGGAATGAGACGTGAGATTGTGGTTTGGAAAAAGAAAGTGAAAAAAAGAAAAAGGAACTTTAAAAAATAGATACTAAGCCATGCCTGAGTGCGTCGTATGTGTGATAGATACGTCGGATTATATGAACAACGGTGATTATAACCCTTCGCGAATGGAAGCACAAATCGAAGCCGTCCAATCCATCACAACTGTTAAACTTCAAAAAAATCCCGAGAACTACGTTGGCTTTATAGCAGCTGGGAGTGAGTCGAAGAGGATATTAGTGACTCCAACGAATGATTTTGGGAAGATCTTGAGTGGATTACACCTTGCCAAAGTGGGGGGATTGAGTGATTTTAAACAAGCACTATTAGTCGCGAAATTGGCGTTGGCCAACCGTGTCGAGAAGATCTACACACAACGTATCATTTTGTTTGTCGGCTCCCCTATTAACATGAAAGAGGAGGAGACGGCGGAGATCATCAACGCACTGAAAAAAAATGGGATTGCTCTTGATATTGTGTCGTTTGGGGAAGTCGTCGACAACGCGAAAGTCCTCGAAACGTTTCCGGCGGGAATGGGTGAGGAATGTACACTTGTCACCGTCCCCGCTGGACCACACGTGTTGCTTGAAATGATCTCAAAAACACCCATCATCATGAGAGATGGCGGGCTCGGAGCATTTAATCCAGAGTACGATCCTGAATATGCCGCCGCAATTCGAGCTTCAATGGGAGAAGGAAATGCTACTTATAATGAAGAAGAAGAATTAGCAAAGGCTATTGCCGCTTCTTTGGCTGATATGGAGGATAACAACAGAAGGCCAATGGAGACCGAAAAGGCTCCAGAACAACAACACAACCAACAAGCGCCACAAGAAATCGAGATGGACGACGAGATGAAATTGGCGATTAAAATGTCAATGGAACCGGAGAAGAAAGATGAAAAGAAGGAAGAGAAAAAAGATGAGAAAGAAGAAAAGAAAGATAAGTGACGACTTTGAGGTTTTTCAACCTTCTGACTTAGCATTTTACTATTTAGTATAGTTTATTTTAGTATAACTGAATTTCAAAACCGGCCCGTCATGTGGTGTCGACAGAAGCAATACAACACACCTTTGTGAATTAAAAATGTTTTGAGTTGAGCTTTTGCCACTCGAGTTTGAGGTCTTTAGAGTCCACAGGGCGGAGTTCATTAGCGGAGTCGTTCTTCTTAGCCAAATCGAAGCGAGATGAAGCTTCGACGTGGAACACAGTTTTATCTTGATCAGTGTAATCTGTTCGAAGGCCAAGAGTGATTGTCTTTTTGTTTGCACGAGCCTCACGAGCAGTCACTTTTGTATTCTGAGGATTTTCTTTCTTTTCATGTTTTTGTGTGGGAGTGCGTGAAGGTGACTCATTTGAAGGATTTAAAGCTTGTGTGAAACCTTCATATGTTCTTCTTCGTTTTGCGAATTTAACTAACCTGTTCTGACTTATCCGACTAGTTGGGTCCGACATCACTTTTTCGAGTTTGGTGAGGTTGTCTAGCTCTTCGGGTGTTAACTCTTCTTTGACACCTTTTTCGTCTTCTTCGGTCTCAACGGATTCGAATATTATTGCACTAAATACACGGTTGGCAATTTGACTGATGTTTTGAAGTAAAATTGGCAACGTGTAGTAAAACGCATTTGCGAATTTGGGTAACCAGAATGGATGGGCGACACACGAATACGACAAAAAGCTGAGTTCTTCGTTTGTGATCATCAACACTGCAGCATCATTGTCATACACATCACAGTAATTCGGCGCACTGAAGATCGTGATAGTCACCGGAGAACTCGAACAGCCTTCAAAATTCATTTTACACCCACTCTTCTGCACTTCATGCCCTCGAACTATACAAACCATGTCATTCTTCACTAAAAATCGCCTCACTGCACTAAACCCATAGGAATAACTACACCCCCTCACACTATTAAATTCATACATCTCCTTCTGAAAGGCTATTTGTTGGTCGCGACTATAAGCTTCATACAAAGAGTCGTCTAAAGGGTCACTCCACAACAAATCACAGAAGAGCCCATCTTCTGGTGGTTCTTGAAATCTGTCGATGATACTGATGTCACTCAGTCGTTGCATAGAAGGAGAAATGCCTCCATGGACACAAAAGAAGTTACCCAAATCGGAGTGTATAATAGCACAAAGGGGTAAACAGTCGAACGTGTTCATGAATTCGTCATAGATTTGTGTGTTATATTTCCAAAGGCATTCTTGTTTGAAATTGAAGTAACTTGTCATCAGTCGGCACTCGTGGTTTCCTCGAAGTAAATGGATTCGATCCGGAAATTGAAGTTTGAGACATATAAGTAAGATGATGACTTCGGTTCCGAAGCACCCACGATCAACATAGTCCCCAAGAAATAATAAATTCTCTTTAGTGTTATTAAAGTCTTGGTACATATTACACAAATCATAAAACTGTCCATGAATATCTCCAAAGACTGCGGTTTGTCCATCCATTGTTATTATATTTGCTTCACGTCGTAAAAGAGTTTGGGCACGATCTAATATTGCTGTTAATGCAAGTGGATGAAGTCGTCCTTCTTGC